GCGATAATTACGATTTTCCCACTTCGAATATAATACCTCTAATGAAAGCAAGTAACCACCAAGGAAACCTTTTCCTTTTTCGAGAATATGAAAGTTATATCTAGAGTGCACTATGTTCAATATACAACTCTCATAAATGGTTCGTGTCGGTTTGGAGGCGGGTGTGGGCTCGTATTGTAACTGGGCCGCTTTAGTGTGAGTCCTAATCGTGTGCAATCTTTCACACTCGTGTGATATTGGAATATTAGTCTTTTGTCTAGTATGGCGATATCACACCCGCGTGAAGAGTATGGCTTTCAATGTTCGGTATGTAATCAATTACCAAGAAGGTGAAGAGGTGTATAAAGCGTCACTTTCGTACCGAGTATCAGAATAGATATCTGAAAGAAACGCCTCCAAGTCCAAATATGAAAACCGAATAAAAGTTGAAAATCACATCGTCAGATTAATTGATAACATTTTGGGTAGTTACTTCGACCAAAAGTGAGGGCATTTCTAAAATTAAAAATACGCGCATAATTCCCTAGCGAAAGTCCACTGTTCATCTAAAACTTGGAGTGGCACTATCAATATCACGTGCAGTATATAGTAGTTTAATCAGGCGTTAATTGGGTTATCTCAAACTGATCGAGACGTCCTCGTAGAATACCGTTTTTGCGGAAAATGCCAAAACCAGTATCTAAAGTCACAATTCGGAAATTTCAGTTAGAGTTAAAAACGTGGTCACTGGCGACCGACGAAAGCGTATTTTCCCCGCACATATTCGGTAATAACTCGCGAAGGAAGGGACCAAACCAAACAAACCTTTGGCGTTCTGGTCTCTGGGGCGTGTTATAGCGTTTTCGATTGGCAACTCGTGCTGCACGTTTTTACGTTCTATTGGTAATTTTAGGGCAATTTTCTGTGTTCCATTGGCAAATGTGATGCAACAATTACGCACTCAGTGCAAATTTCGACGCACGAGGTCCGAGAGCTCGTGGAGCTGCTAATTTGAATTTGTTTCTTGCGTTGGGAGAGTTTTTTGTCGTCATCTAGCGATAGCGAAGATGATGAACTAGCCATAACTTCTATTTTACAAAAAGTTGCACTTACTCATTAAACTGAACGCCAAAAATTGGTCCTTTACAGGAATTTTTTTCGCTCGTTTGAAACTTATAGCTCCGTCCCGGGGCTTTTGGGAACCACTGTATGTGTAAATATGCAATCCATAAAGATTCAAATGAAAACAGTTTCATTTTCATACTTTTCTCAATTAACACCTCTAATATGCAAATATGCTTAAAAATTACAAATGAGTACAGTAATTTCGGGTGCCATGAACCATGAGTGGTGTGGTGATACAAGACATGTGAAAATTACTTCCAAAATAATTGGTAAAGAATAGGGAAATTTATATTCACTATACTAGAATTACTATAACATTTACCTGCTTTTCATTTGTAAATTATTAAAAGTGTTACAAGTTTTATAGTTGAATTGAAAAGGTTACGGCCAGTTGTCCTCGGGTTCAAGACTTTAACAAAGTCAAGTTGCCTGGTAATTAGACTAATTAGTTATAGTTATTTTATAAGTTGTGTAAATATTTGCGGATACTTTGCACTAACTTAATTGTTTATAAATATTTGCGCATTGATGTCAATGTCAGGGTCCTTGGAAGGAATTTCCTGTAGGTAATTATTTGTTGAGAGTACCGTGACGTTATTAAAACCATCCTTTGATTTTTGCCTTCTTCCTTTTACGTGATTGTTTGATCTGGTTTGACGTATGACTGAGTCAGTGCAATATTCCAGTAAAATCGTGAACCATACGATACTTTACCATCCATCAACTTTTGAAAAGTTTGCCTTCGTTAGGTATTTAAGCAACTTTATGACTTTGTAATCATTAACTTTATATCTTTCAAACTAAAAACAATTATATGTCAATTAGTTAAAAGACACCTTTTCATTTAGAATACTATGGAAACAGAAGAAATTGATGGTTAATACTAAAATACCCGATTTATGTATACCCATTTGTTGCTATTCTTGACTTAATTGCCTTACCTTCAAATTGTAAACACGGTCGTATCCTTGCAATTAATTGTTTATTAAAACACGCGGCTTTCTATGGTTGGGTGGTCAACGTCTTACATTTAAATATTTTTGTCCAGTTTTGTCATAATATACACTTTTATTATCTTTTAAAGTGTTTTGCACTTCACGATCATGGCACTTGAAACTGTTTTTATTGAACAACTTCCTTTAAACTATACTGCTCTGATACTGACGCTCACGCTCGATTATTCACTGTTATATACGCACCGTGCATATCGTAAGCTTATCTGCAAATAAAAGGTCAATTCGAACCCTCTGATCTGCAATCAATAATATTTTGCAAAAGTAATCGACATCTACTTTAAGCATCAATATTTCCATCGCCCATTCACACATTAATCATACTATAGATTGATCATAAACAGTCACAGATAATTCGTATTATCGCGATTAAACTCATTAGTGTACTCCACGAACGTAATTCCAAAACCGCATTTACGTTAACCTTCTCATTCACACATCAATTTTTATTTACATTAAAAATTATTTATTGATAACACTGTACTTACTAAAATTAAATCGCCAAAATTGACTATACTAAAAAAATAAATATTGTTTAGGAATTTTATCATTTGCGCGCAAACTTATTTTGCTGTTTTTATTCGCGTAAATGTAAACAATTTCCTTTGCTTCCAACTTTTCGGTTAACGTCCGCGAACACCATAAACGGAAACGACCAATGTAGATATGTAAAAAAAAACCTTTCGCCTACTTGATAATCTGCACGTTACTTGGTCTTATCTACTGTAGAAGTAGTCGTAAATCTGTGGTAAAATTAACCACTAACCTTTGGCTAGGTTTCTGGGTAAGGTAGGTACAGGGTAAGTATCCTGTTTTCGATTTTGTAAATATTGTTCCCACATTCCCACCCCGACATATGCAACACTGGACGAAGACGCAGAAGATATTTGAAAAAAAGTTGACTAACACCGTAGATCTGAACAGTTGACAAACATTAGATTTAATAGATTTAATCCAAAAATCTCCCAAAATTCAGAAAAATACGGAACATCCAAAAATGAAAAAGAAATGTTCCAAAAAAGCAAATTCGATGCAGCGGAATTCTGTTTTAATAGAAGGGGAAAACAAAATATGCCAAAGAATTAGCCCCTTCCGTATTTAGATCATTTATTTAAGAACCCCTGTATAAAGATAATCAAATTATTGATCTATTCTCTCCACAACAGTGCACTTTTTTCATTTTTCAGAAATCTGCTAATAGTTAAAGTTGGGCATTGTAACTAGAGCGGTTATTTTATGTAAATTTTTTCGATCTTTTTCATTGGTATATGTGGAAGGATAATTTCTAAGTTTAAAAGAAGTCGAGGTTTCAGTAACGTTCAACCAAACAAAATATATTCATTATGTCACGTTCAAGTTTTTATTTTGTCGATTGGAATACGCCGAGCTTTATTTGTCATATGCGTCATAGCTATCAGTCAGGTCTTTGGATTAAATCGTATTCGGCGCCCCATTGACGGAAATTTGTTTCATTTACACGATAAAAAGAGGTCATATAATGTTATATTTCTTACACTGCGAATGGGAAAAGAAAAATGAATCGTCGGGACGAAACATATCTAAAAAGGCGTAGAACGCTTCCTAGCGTTTCTTTGATACATGTACAATATTGTCCCCCGAAATGTCAGACAATTGCCGTAAGTGTAACAATTTCGGACATAATTTAAAATCATTTTTAGTGACATGTTTTTTACTCGGTAGAAGAGTCTAGTCACCTGATCTCATAAATTTTCCATTTTGTTTTTTTTTTGTAAGCGTGTCATTTTAAATTTGCCAATGTGTCCTATGTCTCTACACTGACAAGTGTAAAGACTGTACGGTCTCTCAGCACAACAATAAATAATAATAATAATGATGACATTTTGAGATTCTACAACAAAATTATGTAAACATTTACTGCAGCATCTGTTCGGAGTGCTGAATTTACTTGAAACTGAGCATGCGCCCCTTAAGATAAGGTCTGACTATTTTATAGGAATGACTTGCAGCTTTCAGACTAAGCGATGCAGGAATAACACGATAGTACTACGATATTTCGTTGCCGAGATCTCGATCGATTGATAAAAGCTGCCTCAACAACCAACAGTTAGTGAAACAAGCTCCTTTTTTGAGAATCAAAAATGTGCTAAAATATAGTTAAAAAAAGGAGCACTTATTCGAGATACGAAAAATTGCCGTTCCATAAATAATTGGGAAACCTTTCTATGATACGAAAGAAAATAGCGCAAAGTTATGAATATATAGATACGGGAACAACATGTTATACAAGAAGAGACTACTAAAGCTACATACGAAAAATGCGAATATAATTTTTTGCACAGTAAGCACCTATTTTTGCTACTGGAATGCTGCTTAATTAATAATTGGATTTCAAAGTAGAGTTGACGGAAGAAATATCACATTTGACTATCCAAATGCCCGTGTCGACAAAATCGAGGATCACGTTGTTAGAGCTACAGAAAATGGTTTCTAAATTTAAATTGTCGTAGTGAAAATATTCACGCTGATTCACGAAGGGGTCAGACCCGGAATCGCTAGATCTTTGGACACGAGCCAGGTATGATGTATTATATTCATTTTAAGAAAATAGCCGGCAATTTTGCATCGTGAAATAGTCGATAATATATTTGCACTTGTAGCAGTGGGTTTTTGTGTCCGTAAAACGGCCAGAAATACAAGAATGATTCGTTTCATGTTCTGGTTCTGTTATTAATTATTGGGATGAACAATAATCTCTTTTGGATCGTTTTCCCAAATCCTATCGTCATCTGATTTAGGTGTCTGACGAAATGCAATGTTAATGTTCTGTTTTTTTATATAAATAGGTAAACTTACGCTTACAATTTGGTACATCTTTCCAACAGATGCCAAGTGGTATGGTGTAAAAAGCAAATCGCACATAAATTTTCGTTTGACATTCAGTTGAGTCTAAATTAAATTTACGACTACAATTATATTTGTGTGAAAGAATGTTATTTATTTAATACATATGTATCCTATAGCGTTGCTCAACCGCCTGAAATTTAGTTGAGAAGTAGTAAGTGATTTTATTAGCTTTAAATTGGTTCATTCCCATTAAAGTTGATAGCTTCAGGTTTTATGTTATCGCCCCGGTATGAAGTAGGTAGTAGACATTCCCAAATTTGTTTGAAAAAAGTGAGTATTTCAGTTGTTGCCAAATATTTTTCGGTTTCAATTACTTTTCTGAGACACTCCCATTGACTATTGTGAACACTTCATCTATTCCGTTTTTTTACTGCACAGAGTAATTGATTGCTACGATAAAAACTCCTGTTTCTCTCTTACCAAGGTGCATCCCAAACAGTACAAAACTTCCGTCTTTGGAATTCTTCTGTTTCATTATGTCTTCTATACCTACGCCATGCCATATTGATCAATCATCTGTAATAACAAATATTAATCGAAAACCTGGCACGTGTAAAATGTGGAATTTGTTTGGCGTTAATTACATTAAGTAGACTTTTTGCTAATGATTTTGCACAAGCAATTCTAAAAGAGATGAAAATGTCCCGATGCCCTGAAACTTTTTTGATTAATTAAAAAAAGTACAATTCGGAAAGTACATAGTAGGAATCATGAATAAACACACTCTTTTCTCTTTTAAAATCTAAAAGCAAGTCCATACAAAATTCTCTCTTAATGAGTTCTTTGGCACCTATATGACAGATGAAATAATCCCTTATGAATAAATAATATATCTATTAAAAGTATGACTCGCGCTATTGTGATTTTAATTAATTTTAAAACGCGAACGGATGTAAACTTTAAGGAAAATAAATTATTCATATTACATGTACGATTTCACTTTAAAATTCATTAGAAATAAAATAGGAAAGGAATGTTGCACGTACACTCACAATTATCTGCCTGGATTAGTGAAACATACCAATTAATCAATCAAATATTCAAATTTTAAAAATTTATTGCGTCAGTCGTATTCGTGTCATTAATAAACAAAAGCTTCAACGAGGGTTCCAACCTTCACTAGACTGGATTTCTGGAAATTTTGGAATAGAACGACCAAGGGAAATATTCGTGTACTTGATCCAGTAGGTACTTTTGTAGATGATTCGATTATAATGGTGGAAATTCGCTAATTCTTAGCGCATGTTTTGATCGATTAAGAAAAAAAGGCTATTGTTTGCGTTTTATCCGTCCGTCCGTCTGTCCGGACCCACTTCTGTAGCGTTGAACTGAATTACTTGTAGGGGAATGGTTCTAGAGTCTTGGAATTTTTTTCAATAGGTAGCACCTTGAAGGTGTGCCAACGGTCAGCAAATTTCGCTGTAGGGGAGAGGGGCATGAATGAATTATTTCCTTAGATGTTGTTTTTGGAAGTAAAACGTGCAGAATTTTTACATGCAGCAACCAATTGATCTCAGATTTTGCATACACATGCCTTCTCAGAACAGATTGTCAGAGGGTACTTTCAAAGGCCGATTGGGACGTCTCATAGAAATATATCCATTTATTTATTTATTATCCCTCTCTTGTTCTGGGCCCTCAACAGACTTGCGCCCAATTACAGAGTGACTCGCATAATGCTTTTTAGAGGTGCCTCTGCAGAAGGTCGTAAGTTGTTTTATACTACTCCGGCATTTACCTTACGAATTAGGAAAACTGTAGGACACCTAATTCGAAGTAGCCGGCAGAATGCTCGAAACTGGTCTAAGGTAATTCCCATCTCTGCCACAGATGAAAATTCACCTCAATCCAGGTTCGAACACCCGACCTCCGGATTTATAGCCCAACGCTTTTCCGTTGAACCACAATGTTGGTGATGTCAAATATCTCGAAAACGGTTAGTCGTGAGTTTATCTTATAATAGATGGCAGTGCTAACACAGTATTCCTAAAAAATATTAAATTTTTTTTATCTTAACTTAATAAACAAAGAAAAAGAAGAAAAAGAAGGCTTTTGTCTAAAAATTGAAAAAATCAACTCAAAATCAAAAGACTGTAGCCCAGTTTGGTTTTCACCATCGCGTTTATCTCAACATAATACATCAAGACTCCGAGGTCAATTTTTTGATCACTTATAGTTTAAGAATTGTCCCACAGTAACGACTAAATTTGGCCGCCATCCTGTACAGGGAAAATAATTTATTCACACACGTGAAATTGGCCAATTTTAATAGTTCACATAATTCCGAACTTTTCTTTATATTTGATCATTTATGAACATGCTATTGCGTCATATTAATCAATTTTCAAGAGGGGCAACGTGTAGTAGCCTACTCTTGCTCCCATCTGGCTACGGCCCTGACCAAGTTGAATAAAATAGGGAAAGAATTTTTGAGAACGATCTGTTACTGACCAGAGACTTGTTACTGACACACTCAGACCGAAAGATGGATGAACCAAGCAAAATAGATAGTTCATTTTTTACTTTTGAAATTACGCTGATTATGGATCCAGTAATGCATGAACTGCATAAAGCTTTGTTCTTTCGGTGTTTTCAGTGGTTGTCTCAACAAAACTGAAGTAATTTTTAATGCGCAGTCATAGATTTTCTAACAAACCTTGCAATAATTATAATTACGTTTTTAAGAAAATAAGATTTAAATAATTATTAGATTTTCATGTAACATCGTTTTGTTGTCTACGACATCAATATTAATTAAGAAATTGTACACAAATTCCGTGTTGAGTGATAATGAACATTCATTACATACTAATTTTTTTCAGAATTCTTATGATAATGCGAGGCCTGTTTTTTCTTTTACTTTTGTGGAACGGCGTAATTTCATTTATTGTACTTCGTTTACATAAAACTAACCAGAACATTTTTTGCAGTAAGGTTTGTACTGCGATAATGTGTGGGCTCCATTTATATTGATATTTAAATGCAGACGGTGATGGATAAAGATTATTTTCAAAATTGGACCATTTTAAACTAGCAAATTTGACTAATAAACTAGAAATTTCAGGTGAAAGCCAAAATTTTGTGTTATACAGAGGTTTTGATGGACCAAAAGACGATTGGTTCCTGGATTTCGTAAAATGAGAGCACCTTGCAACCCCGTTGATCTTGTAGACAATTTACATGTATTTGATGAGTTACGACATATTGCCACAAGTTATCCAATATGGGGCACTTTTTTGATTCCTACAGGTACAGAAGAAACCCCTAATAAAAAATTATCAAAGTTCTCTTGTGAGATCGAAGGGACTTACCGCATTTTTGTCTGGCAGATCAGTATTCTATTAGCCAGTTTTGAGTCCACCATCTTGTCCCGTTCACCCGCTATTCGCATTTTGGTGGATTTCACTAAAAACGCTCCACAAAATAGTACGCAATTTTTGGGGCACTCCTTATAGCTCGAGCGACACGAGAAAGAGAGACAGCGATCCGAGCTCTAAGAAACTTTTGGGCGCCCAAAGTCGACTTGCAAAAGGTGGTTAATTTCGCCCCTAGCAAAAAAAAAACAAAATCCCGTCATGCAGAAGTGCGCGTTTACAAGATTTTTCCAAGGACACCAATCTGAATACAAACAGACCAAAACTGTAGAATACGTAGATATGAAACGAGAAAAAAAATGATCAAAGTCCTCGTGTGAGATCGAAGGGACTTCAGCGCATTTTTGTGTGGCAGATCAGTGTTTTATTAGCCAACATTGACTCCACCATCAATAAGATCTTGCCGAAAGCTACCACGTTCACTTTGTCGGTATCATTTTCTCACTTACCGTGCACTCGCAATTCGCGTTTGAAGTTTTGACTCCACCATCAGTAAGATCTCGTCGGGGGTTACCATATTCCCTTTGTCGACACCCACTTCTGATCACCCGCAACAATTCGGATTTGAAGTTTCGACTCCACCATCAGTAAGATCTCGTCGGGGGTTACCACATTCCCTTTGTCGATACACAGTTCCGACGTCCCGTTCATTCGTAATTCACATTTTGGTAGATTTCGCTAAAATCCCGGCATAAAATCGTATTCAACTTTTGGGTACTTCACATAGCTCGACCTTCTATTAGTGACACGAGAAAGAGAGACCGCGATTCGCGCTGTAAGAAACTTTTGGGCGCCCAAAGTCGACTACCCCTCGAAGCGCGCCGCGCAAAAGGTGGTTTATTTCGCCCCTAGGAAAAAAAAAAAAATTCCGCCACGCAGGAGTTGTGCGCGTTGACAAGATCTTCCCGACGACACCAATTTGAAAACAATCGGAGAAAAACTGTAGAAGAAGATAGATAAAAACTGAAAAATCTCCAGGTTAGTATAATACGCTCGGGGATGGCGTCCAGATGTCGTCGACTCCAAATCTTGTAGCCCCATCCCTAACGTTCTTAATTACACGGCCCCGATAGTTACATGTACACTCCTTGTCTTTTTACAAGCGTTTTTCTACGGGCGCGCATTTACTGCCAGTCAGCCAGCCAGCCAAAGTGAGATTAAAAGCTACTTTTTACAAAAAAAATTTTTGCAAAAATGCGCTAAAAACTGAGAAAATCATTATATTGTTAAAACAGGCTCGAGGTTGGCACTCAGATGTCGCCGACCCCTCATCATTTAGCCCCGTCCCTAAAGTTGTTAATTACACGGCCCCGATAGGTAGGTACACGTACACTCTCGTCTTTCTAAAAGCGTTCTTCTAGAGGCCCTGATTTGTTGCCAGCAAGCCGGTCGGCCAAAGTGAGATTAAAAGCTACACATAAATTTACAAATATGCACTAAAAAATGTTAATGGTCGATTACTAGGTGAAGTAAACATTAAGTGGTATTCACAGACTATAGTCATGTTTGAGATCTTGGATTGATTTCCGATTCGATACTATTATTCAGTTCGCAATTTGCAATTTCCCAAAATCGATTGATTGGATCTACAACACTGACAGATTCATTTGTCATTGACCAAAAAGTTATCACCAGACATGTGTATAATTAATTGTTAATTTGTTTGTTTTTATATCTTTATTGGTTTTTTTTACTGTTGTAGTTGACAGAATAACAATTTTTTTAAAATAAAAGTAACATGTATCATATAAATAATATGATGTTACGCTAGGAATGTGCCCTGCTGACGTCAATACGATTATGTCTTCTTAAATGTCGATTTATGGTGGGAAATGATGCATTGAACTTCGCGGTACGAGAGAGACTACCTACTTTTTTAGACTTTTAGAGAATGGGATTTTTTCGCAAGTCAGCAGTTCTTGAAATCAAATTGTAACTTGATAATTTAATTACATAAGCTACAAATTTACGTAAAGGTAAATATTTTTGGTTCGCGATTCATTCCAATTGTACATTTTTAATATTAACATCTGGGTTTGTTATGAAAAATATTCAATAAGTTTTAGCAAAAGACATTCCACCGCTGGCTTTGGGCAGTACTTTGTGGAACATCGTGATAAATAAAACCTTGGATTTCTCTACCGAAATTGGCGCACATAGAGAACAAAACTTGTCCATCTCCATGCCGCGAGTCCAAAAGATTCTATTCTAAAATCATATTTGGCGGATTATATGCACAAGCTATCGGGCAGCGAATATTCGAATCGAAAATAATTAAATCTATTGTGAGAACTCAATGGATCAAGTATTGCTTTATATTTCACCGCGCTATGGATGCAACTATTGTAAAACTGAAGAAAAAGTAATATCTCGAGTAATATACATTGTGTCCAAGATAAGAAGGGACAGCATATGAAAATCGGAAACCATAAGAGATACAAAATCGGTTAAATTAGAAAAAAGGATACATAAGTACTTTCTTATTTATGGGCCGATCTTATTTATTTTAACTGTAGCACTTTTTACCAAAGCCAGATCAATTGATTATATTCAACTTGTACAAAGCAGTGCACACAAAGGGAAATATCTTAGTTTTTGACCGATTTTACTGAAATTTTAACAGTTTTGGTAAAGCCGGAAAGGTCAATCCATCGATTACATTAAACTTGTGAGGTGTGCACGTGCGAATGCGCAGAGGTAAATTTCTGATTTTTTTTAAGTGCGAACGCTACAGAGCCATGATCTGGGATCAATGGTACTACAAGTTGTAGTATTGATGATTAATTAATTATTATTAAATTAGGAAAAAGATGCACAATTAAAGAGTTGTTATATTTCAAAGAAAACCAGAAAATTCCGATTGCTTCTCAAGATACCGAAATTTTCTTATGTTCTTTGAACAAACACAAACAAAATTTTAAAAAAACCCTTGCTCATTGCCACTTTGCGAGCTTTACAAGAAACCGTTGAGGAATTTCCAATACGTTACATTTTGGAAAAATCAACTTTATTTTGTTACATGGTCCGTAATAAAGGTACATACTGTATCGAGTAGCATTTTTTATTCCGAATACAACGACGTACGGCACACAAAAATATCAGTGATAAAAAATTAAAAAACGCACTTTTTTTTTAAATTTTAACACCCTGTAGCTCGTCGGTCGCTTGCGCTGGCGTCTGAAAATTGAGTACAGTGGTACGTTAATACTATTTTCAGTAGAGATGGATTTGTGGCGAGAACGCAGCGTGCTCGCGGCGAGAACGCAACGGACTCGCCTCGAATCCACTCGCTCGTGTGAATCGAGCCTTAGTCGATATTTAACCGTAAACGTAGATGAAGAGATCACTTTAACCGCAAGGGTTGATAAAGTGAAACTGATGATTGTGCACTAATGACATCTGTCATTCTTATCTCGTGAAAGTTCATTCACTCGATGGTTAAAATATACTTTTATCGTCTTGTATAATAAAAAATAACGATTATTGTAGTGTTTGCACATTCGTACACCACGTGTTCTGTTACACTGTTTCTGTTGAAATCGGGAAACCTCAAAACGCGTTTGGGAATTTCAGGATTTATGACCCTAAATTAAATTTTATTAAAAAATTGACACACGATTTCTATTTAAAAAAAAACGATAATTGTTGATAGTGGTGTTACTACAGGTAACCTCTACTCAACTGTAGCTGCACCACCAACCACCTACAGTTAAACGAATATTGTTCCTGAAATTAAAAAAATAGTTAGCGAGGAAATCAAAACTCCACAATGATGAATCACATAAATGAGTCTCTGTTAAGACTAGTACTGCCAACTAAAGTGCACCACCCACCGGAAGCAATGGATGATGAGTCCAGGGGTGCCAAACGTAAAACCTCTTTAGCCAGAGCTAAATCTACGAGTATCGAGTCTGTAGACGTAACGGCCTTAGCAGAGGCCAAGAATCCTAGGAAAAAAACATCCAATCCAACAACAATCACCTTGTCAGTCATTGTAAAAACCAGTACTGACCTCAAAATCACAAGGGAGTAATTTGTTACTCATTTTACCAGATACAGTAATACAAATACCCTTCATACATAGATACACATGTAAATGGATGAAATGATGAAGTTTGCAATGAACGGGATAGTCTCTCACCATAATGGGTAAATACATATAATGATTACCGTTTTGTTTATTATGTCGATCTTGAAAGAATTTTCGTACTACGATTATTAGTAGAGCTATATGTCGTTGAAAAATCCTCTACGTACAAAAACATTCTTCAAAATTATTTCACCCATGCTTTGTAATTGCACAAAATTTTTAATTTGGCAGTTGGCATTGTTTATTGTAAATTCCACCAGCATTAGCGACAATTCTGTCCGTCTGTCTGAGGGGAGAGATCTCAACACTCCAATCTGGTGGAATGTTACGTTTTATTTTATAGGCTTCAAGAGGCGAAGGGAAAAGCAACAATTTAAAATAAATTTCCGTTTCTGCACAAGCGCACCCCTTTGTGATTTATATGTCAACCAAATTTTAACTACATGACTACAACTTCATAAAAGTGAATCTGGTGAACATAGTATGCATGTGCAGAACTGATTTTATGGAGCGATTTTGATGTACATCAAATACTTGCAAAATATGATTCGAAGATTCGGTGAAAAAATACGCTTCACTCCATGGCTAATGTGACGCCTTTATTACTCGCCTAAAGGATTAATGTTTATTCAAACTAACAAACTGTAATGCTCATAAAACGAGAGTTATTGAGCCAAACTAAAACCATTTAACCAAGGTGTACTCGACGACGACAAATAACTAAAAGTGCGCTTTCTCGCAAATGTTACCAACACACAATTACCCTCATTAGGCTCTTGTTGATTTTCTATTTTCTTTGGTTCAGAAAAATAGTTGTCACAATCTGAATGATCAAAATTTCGAGTTAATGATGGTTCTGAAGCTTGTGGTATAACTTCCATTTTTACAGTTTTGTATTTATTGTCCTGTCTTCTATCTAGCTTTTAATCTGCTGCTTTGAAGTTCTTCTCCTTCATTATTTTCACTGTTATAATTTGCGTAAATTGATTTGTACACTGACTAGTGGTTGTATTTTGTTTCTACCGAATAAGTTTGACCCCCTTAACCCTCTATACAAATTAACGATATGTTAGCTGGTTCACATTGTATTTTGTGTAAAAAAATTAGTGTGAGGGTGAATCGCTATAAAAAACCTTCACAACCGGAAGAGCAATAATTTAAATCATGGGTGGCCACTCTTAGTTTTTCTAATGTAATTATTGTATACGTATGACAAATAAAATATTTTTTTTTCCTTTCCAGCTCCTGGATATGCTGAAATTTTACGCAAGATTTGAGATAAGCGACGAATCAGGCGATCCGTTGACAGATCACGATATGACTCAAATTCATTACACAAAAATTACTTCCTTACAGGTAAGTTGAAGTAGTTACGCATCGGAAACTTTGCGTTTGGTCCTATCTTGACTATGTACAACCATTGAATTTTATTCAATGGTACAACTTTCAACTAACGTCATTTTCCTTTGAAAAATCCTCATTCTCATTAAATTCACCTTAACCACTCTCGTATCTTTACCAGCATTGACTTCTAAAAGACCGCAAAGGAAATGTGGGTCATTGTTTTACTTTCATTTTCAATGTCATGGTTATCTGCGACGTTTTCCAAGAAATCGTATTACTACAACGATTTTTCATCCATTCATTCATAATTCTACGATTTTAAATTTTTACATTTTAAAGAAGTAAAGAAGGGTCTATACAGAGTGCCCATTATGAATCCAATATAGTATATATCTCAGTAAAATATATTGACTGTATACAACACTTGTCTATATAAACATTGTTTAACATTTTATTTCTCGTTTTATTTTCTATAATAGGGCAGCATTCAGTTGGTTTTATTTTAGAAAACAAATGAGTAGCGAAAAACAATTGAAATTGTAATAGCAATATACCCTTTCATTAGGCTAAACATTTTTTTCTTTTTTCGATCACATAATATGTTATTACCCTTAACCATTGTTTTAAAGTATTTAACTAGGTATTTAAACAATGCCTTAAACAAAGAAATTTTTCATAAATGTTCAAAATATGCGCCATTAACAACCTAACCTATCACGAAAAGCTTGAAATGAATGTCTGAGTATTCTGGGAGAAGTTACTGCTGCAATTATTACTCATTTCGTTTCGTTTCTTCAAGGTTTAACAAGAAACGTACACAATCACTTGTTTTACTTTGATGTAGGATATCTAGATTGTTATTCGCGTAATTATAATAAAGTTTTTTTTTTAATTTTTTGTATAAGGGTACTAACATATTGCGTTATCGAAAAAAGAAAGAAGACTTCTATCAAATGAGCCTAATGGAAGGGTACATTGCTATTTGAAAAAACTCAATTGTTTTTGTTGTATGAAATAAAAACAACTGATGAATGCTGACTTATTATGAGAAATAAAATGTTAAACAACTTTTGTCTAGAAAAATGTTGTATTCAAATGTTATTTATCGAGATACATATATATTCCATATATAATGGGCACCTTGTACATTAATGATTGCTAATGTTTATGCAGTTTTGGATTATCCACAGAAAAGATTAAATAAACATCGTATATTTTATGTTTAGTGCGGATATACACAACGCCTCATTCTGGTTGCATGCACTAACACATAAATTTTAGTTTTTGAAATTTTAAAGTCTGCTTTATAGAATAGAACTGTGCTAATTTTTTATTTTATGACCATTTTTACTCAAAAGATTTTTCAAATCTGCAACCGTTGTATTATTTTTTGTTTAGAAATCCTAGAATTGAAGTGCGTAAGTAAAACTAATGTGCATTAGGTACTTACTTTGAACCAGTTTACAACAAATAGTGTATTTGTTCACAGAAAGCCTCATTTGCCAAATTTCCTGAGCTTCGCAGTTTTTCTTTGGCAAATGTATCTAGTGTCGACACAAGAAGCTCTCTCTTGAAACACTTTGGACCACTCTCGTAAGTATAACTGATATCATTGTGTATACGTCTTTCGCTATAAAAACCGGTGCACGTCATTGATTTATGAATCAATTTCAGACAAGTTTTCTATAGATTTCGCACACTTGTTTTTTTTTTGTACATGTTGCAGTGTTGCAGCATATGTCTAAAATTGATACACAAATGAATGACGTGCAACGGTTTCTATAGCGAAAGACGTATACCTACTTAATGCTACATTATTTTGAAATTGATCTTCAGTCAAGAAAAGTTGCGCGCCATTGCAGTTTATTTAAATCTAGTCCCGTCTCCAGAAATTGAAAAGGACTACAGCTGGTGTAGATGTGATGAAGAATTTTTACGTGAACTTTTGGTACCTACTATAGTCACACTTCTGATTGTATTTTACTATGTGATTTTATAGGTCTCTCGCCATGAAAAGCGTTCATCTCAGTTAGAAGCATTAAATGAAATGCCCCTATATCCGACTGAAGAGGTTATTTGGGACGAAAATATCGTACCAACTGCATATTTTTCTGGAGAAGGTTGCTTAGCGTTACCAAAATTAAATTTACAATTTTTAACGCTTCACGATTATTTGTTAAGAAACTTTAATTTATTCAGGCTGGAATCAACTTGTAAGTACACATTTTTTTATGGTAAGATATTTACGATTGATCCTTTCTAGATGAAATTAGACAAGATATTGAAGATGCTGTCAGTCGTATGTGTCCATGGTAAGTATTTATAACACTTACCCACGCTCATAGTCTTCAATATAAGTAGCCTTAAAATTCACACTAAAGTAAAATACAAGACGGGTAGTCTTGACTTAATTTTTTAGACAACCATTTGCAATGTGTTTGTTTACATATTAAGACTGATAGAAAATGTATTTTACTCGGTAAACAGATGAGTGAAGATTGATCTTTTGTGAGATCTTGTACTATAAGTTTTTATTTACAAATAAATGAAAATATAATGAGTGTTAACCAAATTAGCAAATGCTATTGCTGCTTTCAAATGTTGACTTTAAAGCAGGTCAAAATAAATCATGGTTGAAACGTACTACTCTAAAACTATGTTGGTCTTCTTGTAGGAGATCCGAAGATGGTAGTGTTTGTTGGGGAGGTTGGGCAAGAATGGGACAACCGATCATTAACTTTGCGGTTGTTGAAGTTTCTAAACCAAATATTGGTATGGCAGTAACATTCATGCCATAAAGAAAAAATGTAAAACGTGTATTTTTAGGCGAGAAAAGGCCCAGTCGAGTCAGGGCTGATATCACTGTAAATTTATCAGTGAGACCAGAAATTAAATCTGAATGGGAGAACTTACGCAAACATGACGTTTGTTTTCTGATCACAGTTAAACCAAGCAACACCATCGGTATGGCCGCTTTATATAATAATTACAGAAATGTAAGTGTCGGTTGTAGGAACAAAATTCGATTACAAACAGCCATTTTTACCCCAAGTCGGTTTACATTGTGTGCGAGGATGTGAAATTGAAGGAATGTTAGACAATAATGGACGGGTTATTGAAGACGGGCCCGAAGCAAAACCGCTATTACCTGGGGACAATAGAACCTTTCGGGTTTGGTTGGACTGCAATCAATACAGGGATGATATGAACAACGTTAACGAAGGCAGTGAAGATATTTATGAGGGTTTTAATATCCTGATGAGGAGAAAGCCAAAGGAAAACAATTTCAAAGCAGTACTGGAAACGATTCGTGAACTTATGAATACTGAGTGTGTGGTACCTGATTGGCTACATGATATCATTTTGGGATATGGTGATCCAAGCGCTGCGCATTACAGCAAACTTCCCAAACCTATACAGACATTAGATTTTAATGACACATTCATTAATATGGACCACCTCCGTTCGTGTTTCCCAGATTATCAGATTAAAGTGAAAAATGACGATCCTGCGAAATTGGTTAAGCCATTCAAGTATGGGTTGTACAATAATATCTTCTTTGTTAATAGCGATTGTGTGTCTAGGTTAACTTTTGAGGATCTGGGAACGGACGATGAAGCAGAAAAAAACAAGGTTATTGTGGTCGAGCCACATGTAATTCCGAGCCGCGGTCCTTATTCATTTAACCAACCAAAAAAGTAAGTCTACAGCATTGGAACTTTTCAACAATGTTTCATTTTTTATTACAGAAACATTATACCTTTCACTCCAACACAAGTGGAAGCAATCAAATCGGGCATGGAACCTGGTTTGACCTTAGTTGTGGGTCCTCCAGGAACAGGCAAAACCGATGTTGCCGTACAGATTATTTCGAATTTATACCACAACTTCCCTAATCAACGAACGCTAATAGTTACTCATTCAAATCAAGCGCTAAATCAACTGTTTGAAAAAATAGCAGTTTTGGATATTGACGAGCGTCATTTACTTCGTCTCGGTCACGGCGAGGAAGCATTGGAAACCGAGAAGGATTTTAGCAGATACGGAAGAGTAAATTATGTTTTAGCGAAGCGATTGGATTTGTTGATGGAAGTCCAAAGGCTGCAAGAGTCACTGGAAGTAAAAGGAGATGTCGCTTACACTTGTGAAACTGCTGGTTATTTCTATTTATACCAAGTGTTGTCACGTTGGGAGAACTATTTAAGTGTTGTGAAACCTAAAGGTGGGCAGGTAAGTACATCTTCGTAGATTCATAGATTTTGACAAAAGGATCAATGTGTGGCCACCTTGTACCGACTTTAGTAGGTACATAAGTTTTTTTTACAATACGATTAGGGCGTTTTCGAGCTATACGGGAGAAAATAGGCTAATTCGCATAAAAAGGTGAAATGGTAACGCTTCCGATTTTCCTCAATATAAAAAATAAAATTGGTCTCTCCGATCTCGAAGTAACGGTTAATAACGCATTGGAAAGAAGGGAATTTGGAACACGTTTCCGCATTTTTTCAATATCATCATTAACGAGTCGCTTTCACAATGAACGTCGTGCCTGTCATTCGTATTTTTTCGTAAAATTCCCGCTCGCTCCTACTCACAAATTTTTGTATGGACATTACAATTTTTATTATAGTTATAATTTTACCACTTTTCCATCTGACAAGAAGGTAGCCGAGCCTTATACAGAAATTAAATAGTTCGACTAGAATGTCAGAAAGGGTCTCCAATAACGTTCTTAGTACGTTTCTGTAGATTTCGTCCACTCCAGGAACTTTATTTTTGGGGATTCTTGGCGCTTGTGTGAGGATATTTTGCCAAGCGACCATCCAGTTCTGTCGGATGGTCGCGTCGTCAGGAAAGAGGGTATTCAAAATTGCGTGTATATTGTTTGCTGTGCGGAAACAGTGTATCTGTGACCGTCGTGAATATTGGAACAAAGGGCCGAAAGGAGCTTGCTTTTGAGAGGATATGCGGTATACTAATCTCCAGGGGTTAGCCGACATATGAAACTCAACATGTTCCCAACTTTGCTTTCACCTCAAAGGCCGCAATTCGAGAATTTTGGAGATTCACTTCCAGAAACTTGAGAGATCTAAGTGTTTCCTCACTGTCCATAATTATTGTTCGCGATCTTGGAGTCAACGCGCTTCAAATAACAAGGGCAGCTCGAGGCTCAGGTCTTATGCTTGATAACATCGCCCTTATGTCCTTGGCCTCATGCAATTTGCGCAGGAGGCGCTTCGGGTAGGCCTTGCTGTTGCAGAGTGACGATATTGGAGTTCACTACGGCAGTCAGAATAGGTATAACCGAATTTTTGGCATTTAAAGCACTGCACGATCCGGATATAGTCTTGTATATGACAGGCATTCCACCCCACATATACACGACGGCTATCCAAGAGATGCTTGTGTACGTAGAAAAAGCTACCTGCTCTAATGTCATCTGCTACCCTGCTATACCTCAGTCCCCTCCCCAACCCACGACCCCCCGCGTTGCGGCTTTCAAGGCATCTCATTGCCCTCTATGGATCACTACTTGGTTCCTCTGTACCTTTTACATCTGAAAAAGCAGTACCAGTGATAGATTTTTTTTGTAACGCAATAAATAACGGGTGTCTGAAAATTTTAAATCTGTATCTAACACTCTCACTTGAGGATGTATAAATATTTCATTTTTAGACAGTTGCTGTGGAAGCTATTGCGCAAGAATTTCCATTCACAAGATTCTTTGAAAACATAGATAACCTTTTTAAAGGCCACTCTTACGAGGAAGATTTGGAGATAGCTCAAAGCTGTTTTAGATACATTCAACACATGTTCAATGAATTAGAGGAGTTTAGAGCATTTGAACTGTTGCGATCCGGTTTAGACCGTTCCAAGTACTTGTTAGTGAAGGAAGCGAAAATAATCGCAATGACGTGTACTCATGCCGCCTTAAAACGCAAAGAATTAGTAGAAATGGGTACGATTGTAAACTACCACCTTATGCCCAATCATTGTGTACTGTTACAGGATTTAAGTATGACAACATACTAATGGAGGAAGCTGCACAAATTTTAGAAATCGAAACCTTCATCCCATTGCTACTTCAAAATCCTCAGGACGGATATAATAGGTTGAAACGGTGGATTATGATTGGGGATCATCATCAGTTACCTCCAGTTATTAAAAACATGGCGTTTCAAAAATATTCCAACATGGAGCAGAGTCTTTTCACACGATTAGTGCGACTGGGAGTGCCAACCATTGATCTCGATGGCCAGGGGAGATCGCGTCCAAGGTAATCTCGCATATTTTAGCGTTGTCTCAATTCATTTCTTGCAGTATATGCAACTTATACAAATGGAGGTATCGCAATTTAGGCAATTTGAAACATGTGGAACAATGGAAGGAGTACCTACATGCGAATCCAGGTTTCGCATTTGACTTTCAGCTGATTAACGTGGAGGATTTCAATGGAATCGGAGAGTCGGAACCCAATCCCTACTTCTACCAGGTGAGCTTTGCTTGTGTAACGCACCAGTTCATGTTTAATCTTGTCGCAGAATCTTGCAGAAGCTGAATATTGCGTTGCCGTTTTCATGTATATGAGACTCATTGGTTATCCTGCTCATAAAATATCAATACTGACAACTTACAATGGACAAAAGCATTTAATCAGAGATGTGATTAATAGTCGGTGTGCTAACAATCCCCTTATCGGAAGGCCCCATAAGGTATTGGTCAGAATAATATAGAATGGTGCAAATTTTGTTCGTAGGTTACAACTGTAGATAAATATCAAGGGCAACAGAATGATTATATTCTTCTGTCACTGGTACGAACCAAAGCTGTGGGTCACCTGAGAGATGTTCGCCGTTTAGTAGTAGCTATGTCGAGAGCAAGGCTGGGGTTGTATGTATTCGCGCGTGTGTCACTATTCCAAAATTGTTTTGAACTTACGCCTGCGTTTCAACAAGTAATAAATTTACATAATGACTGTTTTAATTAGCTATTTCATTTCAGTTTACAGCTCGTCCTTTGAAACTACACTTGGTATTAAATGAAGGTTATCCTACCACTAGATATGTTAAGCAATCCGTTAAGAATTTCATTGTGGAGGATATGTCTCAAATGGCCAATTTTGTTTATAATTATTATATGGAACGTGTTAAAGCCTTAAAGGAATATTATGTAAGTGAAAAGTTTTTTAATGAACTAAACTTCCACATCCTGAAGTATCAATGCGCCTATGAGTCTCCCATTTACGCAATTTCGTTCGGAATAATCGCACGCCGTTGAAGATATCCTATTATATTACCTACTTTATTCATTTCCAAAGTGCAGAGGTGTATATAGACTTTATCTGTATCTTGACTATAAGCACAAAGTGAAACAAGTTCATACTGAATGTAAGAAACGGAGGTCAAATTTAGTCTATCACACTTATGTTGAGACGTATTTATATTTGTGCTCTACACATTTTTTTGGATCTCTCTCCGTCTTGACTATACTTTCAATTAAGTTCGCGCGATCCTGATTTCTGTAAGATAACGCCATCGCCTAAATTTGCATGGCATTGACTACAATATTGCTTCACAATTTTATCAATAGTTCCAACACCTCTCTCTGGTCATCTCACTTTTTCTTCTTTAAGCAAACGCAAGTGAAATGGACTGAACCTGGAACATGTGAAGTGAAGCAACATGAGGGTTTCATTTCCTCCCATCCTGGAGAGGACAGAGATACTGATAGTGAAGATGAGAAAGAAGAGGAAAAGGTGCAAATGCCCATTCCGATTGAAGATGAACCAATTGATGATGCAGAAGTGGAGCAAATGGAAGAGGAAGCTACACAAACGATACAAAATGACGATAAGTGCCAGTCTGAAGATGTGGGAGAGAAAACACATGAAAATGAAAGTCAGGCAAAGGAAGACGGTGAAGATCAGTAGGATCCCGCCATTTACATTTGTAAATTAAGCATAAGTTTTGTAGTTCTTTGTAATTTATGCGTACTTATATTATTTTTAAATGCTACCATCTAAGAACAAATATATTTCGAAATAAAAGAAAAATATCCAAGAGACCAGGGTGACAAAATTTGTATATCTGTCAGTCACAATTACCACTTTTAGGGGACATTAAATAAATTTTCTGTGGCAGCAAATTTAATGATTTTGAACTGGGGGGCCTACAAATTTCAAGAATTTGTTTGGTGTTAAAATTGTAAATGGATGTCGATGAACACCTGGCTAATTCAAAATCGTGAATCAACTGATAAATTAAGGTACGTACACCTATGGCCAAACGGCTGAGTCCACGTAGCTCCGAAATTAATGCGCTGGAGCAACGGGGATACTTGATTGGAAAGAAAATTGGTCAGGGTTCCTATGCTACGGTACATTTAGCCGATTACGTTGATGGTAACTCGGGCAGTAAACGAATGCGACTGGCATGCAAAATTTTTGACAAGGAAAAGGCCCCTACAGATTTTTTGGAAAAGTTCTTTCCCAGGGAATTGGAAATTCTTACAAAAATTGAGAACCCACACATTATTCAGGTTCACAGTATTTTACAAAGAGGACCCAGAGTTTTTATATTTATGAGGTGCGTATTTTGAACCAATTACTTTTTAACCAGTTTATATGCAGGTATGCAGATAATGGTGATCTATTAGATTTTATTAAACGTAACGGAGTGGTACCGGAACAACAAGCGCGGCTTTGGTTTCGTCAAATGGCGACAGGTTTGCAATATTTGCATAACAAAAACATCGCCCACAGAGACTTGAAATGTGAGAACATTTTAATTTCCAAGAGGTTTAATGTAAAACTTGCCGATTTTGGATTTGCTCGATTTTGTTTTGTGGGCGGTCGCCGTGTTTTGAGTCAAACTTATTGTGGTTCCGCGGCATATGCTGCCCCTGAAGTTGTGAATGGTACACCGTACAATCCCAAGCTTTCAGACGTGTGGTCATTAGGTATCATTTTATTTATTATGTTGAATGCATCGATGCCTTTTGATGATTCCAATTTACGAAAACTTCTAAAAGATCAAATGACACGTAATTGGGTATTTCGATCGAGAATCAGAGACACCATATCGCCATCAGCAAAGTCGATTGTACGCCATATTTTGGAGCCAGACATTACTCTTCGTTTCACATTGGAAAGGGTGCTTACACATGAGTGGATTAAAAAACGAGATGCATCGCTCCCATCGGGTGGTAGGTTAGTGCACTCATTAGCCGCTCCTAAACAGGCAGAAGCCTCAGGAAGTAGTGGGATGGAACCGGCACAACAACCCGAAGGACCTAGTCGAGCGGCTGCCCCACCTTATCCTCAAAAAATAGATACTTCACCAACAGATGAATATAAATGGCACGAGTCTCTTAGAAGTAATCCATTGTTAAACATGCCACAACTAGCTGATCCAGCGCGAATGTGATTGAGTATTTATCGGCAATTTCAAAAGTGCATTAAATCCATGCAGAAATATGTATCTGATTGCACTATATTGTTAGCAATGCTGGAAATCACTTGCAGGGAATGAAATAAAGTAATAAATTAGTTTTTGTTGTAAATTTCTTAAATAAACAGAAAAGAATAATTATTTAATTGTAAGTAATCTAAGATCGAATTGCGCAGTTCTAGTGAAGCCTCGTTCGCGGCTAACCTAAATTTATCTGTTTATAATCACTCATCAAATCAAAGAGGTATTGAAATATTATCCCATGCGGTAATACGATGGCCGGCAGCAAGATTACCAGTGTGCAAATGCTTCTGTATTTCAATTTTTTCCTAGGTATTTATATATTTATTTTATAAAGTTTTCATTTTTTTATTTTATGTGGTGCTGTTTTGAGAGCTGTTTCACGTTTTAAGTCTGTTTTTGTGAACCACCGCAAATAATATATGTACCACCAGGTTGAGAACCGCTGTTCTAGAACAAACACGTCATATTTCCCGGAAAGAGTGTGTCCGCCTTATATAGTTTCTTATTGCCGATGACTAATATTTCATGGCGCCTCGATGTCTATCGAGATTTCTAGAATATTCGCTACAATATTGTATAACATGAATTTCATTCACTATTAAAGGATAAGACATAGTTGGCTACGCATCGGATAATTTAAAGAGGAGATATCAGTTGTGTGCATACCCAATATAATGGAGGTCAGATGAAATATATGGTATTTTATACTAACTTAGTCATCAATTTTGTTTATGATCGAAATATATACAGTTGTTTTGAACTGCATGTGAATTATATTTGTTATCCCTTAAATAGTGGAAAAAGTCATTCAAGTATAACACCTGATATCTGTCTACTGACAGGGTCCTCAACGCTGTCTGACTGTTATTGCATATATACGCTGTGCTGCAAATTGCTCAAGATTACCTCGTCCATCAATAATGTACCTGCTATGTTCCTCCTCCCCTAGTGATGCCGACGGGTTCGACTCCTGGTCGGAGCCAAGGACCGGCTCGTCATCATCTTTCTCTGTATCTTTGGGCGCTGGAACTGGGTCCCGCTGCTACGTTGGAGTCCTCTCTCTTACCTGGCGCAACTGAATCACTCCCTTTTGTCACAAATGTGACGTGTAAGACCCCCGCGTGCGCTTGGAAGTTCTGCCGCTGGAGTACTTACCTATACCTGTCCGATAGGATGCTCCATAGACACCCAAATGCGAGCGGAACCCTACCAGACCCCTCCCTGCGAAAAAACGTCTTCTATATGCTCGTCCTGACATCTGGATTTTGCCTCTGGAGCCATTTAAAGATGGGCGGGCGTGTCATCCCACAGCCCGTATATAGTAGGTCACATCATCTTGGTTACTAGGTATAAGGACGTGCCTTTACACTTTCAGAGACCGCCAATCCTTGGGCCTATAAGACGTGTACGCGACGCACCTGTTTTCCGCCTTGAAGTTACCAGTTTTCGTGATCAATCTGTAGATGAACACCCGGTAACTAATAAAAGCGTTTTAAAAGTTGGGATCTTTATTACGAAAAGTGTCATGTTGAAAGTATTTATGTTGGTTCTAGGAATTAAAGACAGAAGGTAAAGGCACAGATTAACTAGCAAAGGTATTTGATTTAATGTCTAGAATTGTGTTTCAGCCGACGCTACCGTAAACAAAAGCTGTAAATAATCCGCCGTTTGCAACCGTTCCCGTCAAGATATTTCTTGCCATTTAGAAGACGAGGACAAATTAATATTTTAGAATTTCTTAAAGGAAGTCGGTTGGTGACGAGGTCTTCACCCACATAGAGGTAAAAACTTACAAATCGTACCGGGACCAACGATCGGGTGAAAGATTTGGGGGCTCCACCTTTATAAAATTTAAAAAAAACTATGAAATGTTTAAAATAATTAGAAAATGATTTATTTATATTTTAAATAAAATAAATGTTATACTTTCACATAATTATTAATACATTGAGTTTGTTGATCCCTACCGAGAGGTTCCCAGTTCCTACAACGCTGCAGCATATCAGATTTTACAAAATTATACTACAGAAAGAAAAAAACAATAATGATTATAAAAATGTGTGCACTTAAATATTAAATTGGGATTTGAAAATAAAAAATATTTCATTATTATGCAGATACTTCTGTTTTGGTACATTGTGAAGTTGAACTGGGAGTATCAGTTTCTGAATCTTCACCACTTGTGGAACCAAAATCTTCATCGGCATCTAACCTGGAAATGGATAAGTAAAAAAATTGTTTACTACAACATTACTACTTACCATAGTTTTTGTTTTTTCTTTTTAACGTTAGAAGTAGTCGCCTGCTTTCTTTTCACACCTTCTTTGCCCTCTGCCACTTTTAACCCTTGCAAGACTGCATCTTCTACTTTTTCAGGTAAAGCTGAACGCTCGTTCTCATAGGCTTCATCCTTAAATTCGTGTCTAGGAGGTTCGCATAACCTCTCTAGTTTCTTCTGTTTATTATCGGCCGCCTCTTGTTCACGATCGACTTGTTGCGCAATCCACGTTTTCAAACGCTTTTCCTCGTTTATATCGCGAAGTCTTCTACCGCTCAGATCTCTGCACGCCTCTCTGTTGGTAGTTTTCTCAATTTGTGCTCCGATCGCACGTAGCATCGAACCAAACCCACCTTTGCCACCCACATTTCGAAGGCATACGTGCACTGAACCATTGCTAACTACGCTGGTATTTGATACCAATCTTCCCTGCGAAATCAGGTAGATCTCATCTTCATTGACACCCTATGGAAGTTTATTATTATTAGGCAATAGGTTATATTGATATTGTTACCAGAAGCTCTTTACATTGTTGCTTAATGACTGCACCCTTCGCATTATTATCGATGCAGCATAAACGGCAATTTCCTATAAATATGTCTAACATTCTTCCTTGAGGAGTAAAAGAAAAACAGGAAAATATCAATAGACAATCACAATGCTGTCAAATTCACTTACATGGAATGTCAAGGTCAACTGTCAAACTTTCCATTAGAGTGGCTTTAAACCAGTGGCGCCACTCCAGTTTTTAGCGTATGCCAAATCTGTTGGCGTATGTGTGTTGCCTACCTTCCGATCGAAGACCGACTACAATACGATGGAGTTATAATGTCGATTTTTGTCAAGATAATCATGATTTAGTCATGTTTGTTATTTGAATTAATACAAATAACAAATACAAAATTCGTATTTGTCATGATTTCCCTTCTGCTTTCTTTGCGTGAACAGCTACCTAGACTACCCCGTATGCGGACACAAGCATCACATTATTCCCGTCGTAATGAGCAGCTCAAATTGGTATGCTTAATGCTAGCAGCATCTTCCTTGATAATAAAATCCAAAACGTTTCTTTAGAGGCTTTTTTGGATGAGAACGGAAACGGGAGAACTCTAGTCCAACTCTCTCGCCATAAGGCGGTGGGTTAAGCAGTACGCTCCCTCTATATGATATCTGTAGTCTATATTCAAAGGCCGTGAGAAATGATAAGATGAGTGGAAATGTAGTGCAGACACATGCCAAACAGATAGAGATCTGTGGAATGACAGACTGTGCCCAATGCCCATGCAGCTTTATTAAGTTTATTAGTTTAAACATGTATCGAATATTAAATATAATAACATAAATATAAATAAATATTATTGTTATGTGGTAATTAAATATTGTATTGTTTGTACATCTAAAACTTAATTTGGGAATTGAGTATTACCTTCACTCAACGATTTGTGTAAGTTTATGACAAGAACAAGACATTGTGCTATATTTATATTATATTAAATATCCCCTCAAGCTCAAAATTGGTATGTGACCTGACTACCTTTAAAACAATAAATAATAATAATCTTTATTAAGGGTTAGGCGAAGCCAATTAAGGCCAATTTAACCCCCCTCTATACATTCATTCAGTCGGTACAAAACATACAAAAAAAAGAGATAAATTTAACTTAAATTGACTTTCCTTCAAATTAAAAATATATAATATTAGTCCATGTCCAGTGTGTTTAAATACTGTCAACTGCAGATCGTCTGCTTTATTTATGACACAAACTTATGTACTGGGGAATTTAAAAATGTATGTTTAGGTACCATCTCAAACCAACCAAAGAAAAAGCAAACGTATCGCATATTGTAAATATCATATTAATGTGCGCAAGATGCGCAATATCAACTCTTTTAGTTATCGAAATATCTTTTTGAAATTTTAATCACAGATGTTTCTGTTAAAAATGGGCAGTCAATGCGGTTTCTGGGCAGTGCCAACTTCCTTATTTATTTCTTTGAAATTCTAACCATAGGTACTTCTAGTTTGAAATTTGATTCACAAATGCTTCTACTAAAGACAAACATATCGCATATTGCAAAAATAAGATGCGCGAATGCGTAGCTTGCGCAATATCAATTTTCTTATTTATTATGATATTTATTTGAAGTTTTAACGATAGCTCATTTTAGTAAAGAAAACCATAGCCATAGCTTTTTGGGAAGTACTGACAAATACATGGAAAATGCGCCTTAGGGCAAACACCTTTTGATAACCAAGTAATCAAATTTAAACCCTTCGATTGCATTATTTTTAGAAATGGGTTACCGCTAGTATACTTACCCACTCAGGATCGATTTCCACCTTCTACGTATTAAATAAGACGCGTTTTTCGTAGTCATCAATTAATAATTAAAATTAATCCAACCGTAAAATATGTCTTTGTACTAAATATCATGAATTAACAAAATTAAATTTTCCTTGCGTAATGGAACCTTGACAATAAATTGAATCTGAATACAATGCTATCTCTAATCAACTTGAAACTAAGGGGGGGGGGGGGGCAATACTTAGGGTGTCTTTTAAAAATCACTTCAGTTTTATTATTTATTTGGATGTTTAATCTGAAATACATACATGTTTCCATATTTAGGGTGTGTCAAGCGGGGGAAGAATGAATTCGAGTCGAAACTATCCTATGAGTCCGCAACTGCCTGACGGTAGCAAGTAGATAATGTAGTATATATTCATCAAATTAAAAACACAGTTACTGTGATGATGGTACTGTGAGCAATTATTGTAATAAACATTTATTTTCATGACTATAGTATTATTTCTTCGTTAAATAAATTAATTTTCCAGCAGTATCGTGGCTTACGTCGTATTAATATTATTAAACTAGCAGACCCCCCGAACTTTGTACTGCATTTGGGAAATCTCGTTTTCTAGGTTGGGAGATATGCTCAGTTTCGAAGACTGCGTTGCATCAATATCCCGCTCCCGGATGGGACATGGGACATAAGCTGGGTTTCGGCGGCTCGCACAAAGTATTATTAGCGGTATGAAATGTACTTTACAACTGACTCCTTGGCGCTGTAAGTGTCCTTTCTAATTAGTGAAAGCTATCAGGGTGCTAAATCCGGACTACAAGGTCGCAATTTCGAGAAGTTACATTTTTGAAATTTATCGATAACTTGTCGAACTTTTTGAGCCTTATAATCCGAAAAGCGTTGCGCCCAAATTTTCCGCTTATCCCCCTGTTTTTTTGTGCTGAAGATATGCACCCACTGTATCGATTTTTGTTTCGTTGGAGCATCCCAGTGATGCATCCAGGTTTCATCACCAGTGACAATTTTTACTTTCCGACTACATACGGGGTGGTGCACGGTAAGTAGGAACATAGGGATTTAACATGGGAAAATAGTTTTATGCAATATCCTGTCCTCCTGTACATTTTACAGAAAAAAACTGTAGAGTTTAAAGTTGTTCAGAATTAAAAGGTGCATACAAAATTGATAGGTATACCTACCCGCAAATTTAAAAAATAAATTTCAACATTTCTGTTATTAGTGGCAATAGCCATGACTTTTGTTGTTTTATGAATTGATACTAATAACAAAAATGTGAAATTTATTTTTAAATTTGCGAGTATACCAAAAGCTTAATAAAAACATGTAAAAATAACAGTTTTGTATACACCGTTTAATTCTGAACAACATTAAACAACCAACCAGTTTTTTCTGTAAAATGCACACGAGGGCTGGATACTGCATAAAACTAATTACCCATGTTAAATCCCTATGTTCTTACTTACCGTGCACCACCCAGTATAAAGTAGGTATGTATAAAGGAAAGTATTGTAATCGTGAAATTTTCAATATGTTTTGAAGCCTACAGACCCCCAAGTAATTTTTAGTCTGTACGTGTTTGTGGGTGTGTAGGTCAGTATGTGGGTCGTTTTTTATAAACAGGATAATAATAATAATAATCTTCATGGTTGTTGGGGTGTCAAAAGTTTAAAAGGGCCATAACGATTTGAAACAATTTTTTTAAATTTTTTTCACTTACACTCGATAATGCCGTTTAAAAAATTCTACACAACAAAAGTTCATTACACTTTTTTTGGGGGTTTCTTAGTTTTTGAGAAGTTTTGAATTGAAGAGTTAGACTATTTATTTTATTTTTTATATGCATTTTTCTCAAAAGGTGGTAAGCATCAGAGTGAAATATTTTAATTACAAGAAAGATGTGTCTTGGTGGGCTCTACAAAAAGAGTAAAACACTTTTTGACTCGGGTTCAAAATAAAGGCGTCAGAGTGCATTTTCTAAATGTTATACTATGACCAAAGGTCGTTGCTATGACTATATTCAAAGTAGTCGCAACGTCAAGGCAGGGAGGATCTTGTTTTAAAGCATCCATCTTGCGGACATATTGTCTATTCCCAAATCGCCGGAAAATTTTCAAAACTATTGCCTCTGATATGTGCATTTCCCACTGCAACATAATTCTTCGATCTGTCGACACCATCCCTTTAGCTTGCACCTCCGGTGTTATGGAAATCATTCGTTCGTGAATATCTTGTGGGCACATATCCTCCTCAGTCGAAAATTTTATAATTATTCTGTGTCCAAGTTTTATCAATTTTTTAACATTCAAACTACTACCAAAATTACAAAAATCTTGCAATTTGTACGCCACTTATAACGCTAAAGCCGTTTATTGTTCAACAGCTTCGATATAGTTTTCGTGGCGAAGTAGATTACACAAAAATGACCCCCACCCCCCGCCGCCCGTTCGTATATTTCAAAAATAGTACTTTGCTGTCTTTAAATTGATGGCATACATCATTTATAGCTAATTATACTCCATCATATGTGGGAAAGATTTAAGCCCCCGTTCCCACGCCACGACGCCGCTTTAGTAATCACTAACCTGCATGTAATATCCCATCAACAACGTGGACATTGCGATGTAACAGAAGTAATTAAATCGTTATCTTTTGATTGTGATACACCTATCTATGCATTTTATTTTTAAAGCACGGTTCATTATTAGATACAGTCAAGTTTTAACATAGCAACCAACCGATTAATAGTTAGTTATCGGTGACACAGTATTATCTTACTACTTAGGTATTGCGACGAATAATTGTCTAAAACCTGTTACAGTACCTACAGGTACGAAATTGATTATAATATTCCGCGTCTCAGAGATTACATAACTATTTTGATCTGAGTAATTTTACAACCATATTTTAACTTCAATTGACCAATTTCATAGCATGAGACCAAGTAATGGGTATGGTTATAAAAAAGGTGCCATCGTGATGCATACACACAGGCAACAGATTTTTCGAGAACATTTTTCGTGAATGAGCCCACCCTGTGCGGTTGCTTATAAATTTTAGTTAAAAGCAGAGTAGATCTAGTCAACCATCGAATCTCCTCGAGCTTGATTATCTGCAATATATTGACCATTGACTATAGTCAGGGAGACATTTCTGAAAAAGGCTCTCTAAATCATGTCTAACGGCGTTTTGTGCTACAAACTGGCAACAGGCGGTTCTAGACTAATTTGCCACCGCTGAAAACGATGCGCCCTGTTGCCAGACCCGATTTTGACATTTAAGCCCTTAAATCCAAGATGGCGGCCAAAATTGCCATTTTTTTCGGTAATTTCGAGCCCACAAGGCAGCCACTGAACGTTAAGGGTAGAATAACATCTAGTACACACGACGACACCGTTTAGGCACACTTTCGTATTCAATATTAAGGGCGTAAATGCCTAAACTCCGCTTAAAAACGTCAAAAATGCAAAAATTCATCATTTTTTCCTTCTGACCGGTTGTCGGCGTCCAATATGCATTCATATGGTCAAGTTAACATTTAAGTATGTGGGGACCTCCAGCAGCGTCATATGCCTGGGGCCTAAATATCAAGATGGCGCCTGGAAAGTCCAAAAACAGTGACAAAGTCGTTCTTTTTGCCGTATTTTTACTACACTGGCCACTCTTTACGTTCGCTGTTCATTTTGGTGTTCTGGACCATTATTATGAGTAATTGCGACTGCCACCCCGGACATAATACACCCCCACGAGAGGGGGGTGGAATTATGATCTCCAACCGAACGGATTCGCGAAACTATCAATCAGTGCACTCGCGTGTTGTTGTGCATCTTCTTCGGAGCCGCTCCTGAAGTTCGTCTGTGTCGCTTCGATGGCGTCTTCCACCTACGCCTGATATTTCATTGAATATTAAAAGTCAATAAATGTTACATCATGTAACTAAGATTACATTCAATGAAGATATTTTTTAATGTTATTGTTTAATTGTCATCGTTTTTTCACCATGCTGCCTTTCAAATTTTGTACTGTGTACTTCTAAAATATTTTAACAAGTTTTATTCTGTAATTTCCTTAAGCCAGAAGATGACCGTTGGTCGAAACTAGTCGCGGCTTATACAATTTGTCTATTAAAATAGTATGGGGAAGTTTTGTCTCTTTTTGGGTGTCAACCTGGGATTTAACGACTTACTCTAACATTTACATTAACATTAAGCTCGTTCATACTAATTTAACATGATATCACATTACATTCTAACGCATGAAGGTGCTCTATTCAAACGTTAGGCCACATCTCTATTGATCGTAGAATGGTGCTCATGTCTTCTTTCGCGGTGGTGACTTCCATTTGACTGTTTCAGTTTTCCCTAGGCCATGCAGCATTAATCATCCTCTGGTGGTGATTTTAACAGTAGGTACCTAGTCTATGTGTAATGTTAAAAACAGTCCAGAGAGAAAACGTCAGTGCTTCAAGAGACAACGTTTAACTCTGTAACGTTCTTATTCTTGCATAATACCTTCTTCATAGTATTAGTGCTCAATATTCTAAACAGTTTCGACTGCCAAGTGTTACGTTTTAATTAAAAAAAAATTAAAGAAAACTTGGGAAGCATGTTTTAATATATTTGCCCTCAAATTACGCCGCCAAACCAACTTCTGCCTCTTGGTTCCATAGTTAATTTATAGGAGACGAATCCCCACTTCCGCAGTTAAGGCCCTTCAGTTGTGTAACATCCAGAATGATATTCGCAATTCTCATATTATGGCTCCAGGCCATCGAAATGGGGAATGTGTGGCCAGTGTAGTAAAAATACGGCAAAAAGAACGACTTTTTCACTGTTTTTTGGACTTTCCAGGCGCCATCTTGATATTTAGGCCTCAGGCATATGGCGCTGCTGGAGGTCCCCACATACTTAAATGTTAACTTTACCATGTGAATACATATTGGACGCCGACAACCGGCCAGAAAAAAATGACGAATTTTTGCATTTTTGACGTTTTTAAACGGAGTTTTGGCATTTAGGCCCCTAATATGAACACGAAAGTGTGCCTAAACGATGTCGACGTGTGTACTAGATGATATCTACCCTTAAACTACCCAAAACGTTCAATGGCGTGCCTTGTGGGCTCGAAATAACCGCAAAACGATAATTTCGCCCGCTATCTTGGATTTAAGGGCTTAAATGCCAAAATCGGATCCGGCAACAGGGCGCTTCGTTTCAGCGGGTGCCAATTAGTCTAAAACCGCCTGTTGCCAGTTTGTAGCACAAAACGCCGTTAGACATGCACTTTTCAGAAATGTCTCCCTGACTACTACGAAGATCATTGTCATTTTACGGGGTGAGCCCCATATTTGAAGAGCGCGATATAAATAAATTTACCGAGTTTACGATACGTGTACGCGGATAAATAAATGCCAAATTTTTGTTTTTGTTTTTATAAGCAAAATTTTCGAAATAAACGATGAACACAAAAAAGCAGGTGTTATTTCATTATTTGTACTAATTCACACCGTTATTTGCACTATAAGCACCCAATTACATAATACAGCTTTGACGACAGCTGCTAAATGTCCCTAATTAGTAGTTACCTTTGCCAGATCAATCCATCAAACTGACAGTCCTGCTAAATTTGAAAACCCAAAAAATTTTGACAATTTACAAAATTTCGTACGATGACAGATACCGACGAAACGGATGACACTTTAGGAGAATACGTGCGTGATTTATCGGATTACGAACCAGAAGAATCCAGCTCTTCACAGTGGGAACGAGTGGTTGAATTGTGTGCCACAGTTTTGAACGCGTGCAAAGTATGTCGCAAGAAAGTGAACGACTTCTTCCAAAATCGTTTTTATGCGCAAACGTTTGCAACAACTTTGATGTTTCTGCTAGCCTTAAAACTTGCAAGGGAGTGTTATGGTTTACGTATTCCAACCCAAATCTACAGACCAAAATCATAATTATACAAAATGTATTATTTTAATAAAGGATGCGGAATTAATGGTTAATGTGTAAATACGAAAATTAAAATGAGTTACAAATGAAGTTACAACACGTTTCAAGTTTTGAGAAAAAAGTAGTATGATTCCATTGATTGTGGCCGTATCTAAGTAATTAATTGGTCTTAGTACGGTGCTCCTTACCTAACAAATCACATATGGTAGGTATTACAAAAGCTTCTATTATCCAGTGCGATTCCTGCTGTCTTAATGGATCCATGTAAGTTCACTTTCTAGCGCATTTTTGATTCTCAAAAAGGAGCTTATTGTTTGACTAACGGGCACCTTTTATAAATCGATCAAGATCTCGGCAACGGAATATTTTAGAAATTTCTGATTTTCGGGATTACATTCGTACTATCGTGGTATTCCTGCATCGCCTAGTCTGAAAGCTAAAAGTTATTCCTGAAGTTGATAATTTGTGAATTTCCTTTAAATGCGTTAAAATAAGGAAATAGAATATCACAGTGTCGACGCAGTATGCATCAATTCCGAAGAAATTGAAGCGGTGAAAGAATCGAGGAAAACAAAACTGAAGTTAATCATTGCTTTTTAAGAAACTTTTTAAACGTGTTTTAAATTGTTCTAATATAATGAACATCTAAAAATAAATCCGTTTACGTGAGTCGTAGTCAACGGGCTAGACCACCCAAGCACTACGAGTAAGACGGTCCATCGAAGACAATCAAATATTTATGTTTTTGCAAGCATAAAATCTGTAGAATAACCACCTTCACTTAAACCACCTCTAGCAAATTAAGCACTGAACCTAATCGTCTGCCTTCAGTGTTTTGGTGTATTCCAATTCATATCCTTGACATTCTGTTTTTATTTCCGAAAGCTGTTATCAGATTCTGGGGCCGATGTCCATGATATATTCTTCAGTAGGTACTAGATTCCATTTATTTAACGTCATGCCTAAATTGACTGTTTTTACCATTGAAATAAAAGACTAAGGGAGGAGGGTTGCATTCATAATATAATGTGTGCTTGTTGGGATCCAATTAGGTTTCTCAATATGGCCGACTTTCACAATTAATTGATATTTACGGTAAAGTAAAACATAATGGTTAACTGTAAATCGTATAATATAACAAAGTCAAAAGCTACATAAGAAACGAGAATTAATTACATTTCATAGGTGGTGGTAGCCATGTTTTATTTCTTAAAATAGTCTTCTTTCACGGTACGGTTGTGATACAGATCCATTGCCGTAGCGATAGTATGTAAAACAAAATTTTGAAATACATCTATTTTTCAGATTTCCTTTGGACAGTGAAGATTCTTTTTTTATGAAAGTATGATGGACTCTAGAGTCGTTGGAAAGTGCATATAATCGCCACACATCCATTATCATGCGAAAAATGAAGATACATAATGGGACCATAAAACTCCACCTCCTCTTCATGCAAACGTCTCCGCATCCCCGTCTACCTTCGAAACTCCCATACTTGCTAGATAGTATCGAATTTTAAAAAGTAGTCATTGTAACAAATACCAGCTACTTTGTTCCAATTTCAGGGGATCGTTGGAGCACTGCTGAAATAGTTGTATGGAATGGTTTTTAATCCATTGCCTCTTTTTCGAAGTCCTCTGGTTATAGTAGGCCATACGCACGAGGGTGGTACGCTTAATCCGACACTGCACCCATATACTCAGACACTTTGCCTACCTTCTTACCAATTTTGCTAGATAAGCGACAAAACGCTATTTGTTAAAGACAGGTTAAAGTATATCGTTATCGATCATTTTCTTTTCGTCGGAGAAACGTTTTTATACCTGATACGGAAATGCGCACACCTTTTGCTCTATCTATTTTTAGTGGTAATTTTAATTTATGCATTCGCTAGCATACCATACTCAATACTGGTAAGTTTGCAAGGGTTGGTTTAGGTTGATCAATGAAATTAACACTAAGCTTCTTTAACCAAACGAGTGAAAACATAAAGTCTAACTTTGATCAGGTGCTATTTTACTTGCTCAAAGCCAAAATAACTACTTAAAAGGTTTTGGTTTCCAAAGTAGGTAAGCAATAAACTATGCTCCACAGCTAATCAAATTGTGCATGATGTATGTAGTAAACGTTGCGGAAACTGTAAATGCAAACATACGTCGTCGCTATTTTTCACCTAAATTGGGAAGGAAAACTGCAACCGCGAATCGATAAGATTGGGTATGATTGGTATCTAATTTGTTGTTTTTTTTGTTCGTTTACTTCCCAAAAAAAGTTCATTGCAGCTGTTGAAGACCGAAACACAGGACAGTTCATCAACGTAACCGATACATGGTCATATACGATGATCTTTTGAAGCATAAATGAAAATAAATTACAGAAGATGCGTAAGCTTCGTGTGGGCACTAAATTATCGTTCCGTTACAACACATTCCTTAATAGACAAACTTTTATAAACTCCGTTACACATTGGTAGATATGGTGTAAATTAATCGGTAGGTAATTCAAAGATCTAGAATCGTTAATTTCCCATGCTATGTATTTAAACGTTGATCAATATACCAATTTTATGCGCATCGATAACGAATCATAAATTTTACGAGCGCTCTGTTGCAAGTCACTGTTTCAGGCAATTGTTGTAGGTTAATTGAAAATAAAATTGAACTGCTTATTAAGTTTTGCAATAAATCTTCCTATGTAGTTTCTCCACAAATATGATTTGTGCAAGTGCTAGCACGTTCGCCTTGTTTTTTACTTTTTTTCAAACTGGTATCATTAAGGGTAAGACCTTCTCTGTTACGGTTAAATAACATAGGGAAGTCGTGCAGTTTTTGAAAATAATTTCCTTTCAAGGCCACGCTGTGGATATTACGCGCCATCCTCACTGGCAGCTTTTGGAACATAAGGAGTGTGGAATTACTTTGGCGGATCGGATTATAGGGGGGTCTAATGCGACTTTGGGCCAATACCCTTGGCTGGCACGTTTCGGTTATGTAGAAGACTACCGTTTCCCATATATTGTGTACAAATGTGCAGGGGCCCTTATTAATAAACTTTATGTTGTTACTGCGGCTCACTGCGTGTATAAGCTACCACGAAAGGCATACATGTAAGTACCAATTTTTTCAATCTTTTTCTGTAATTGAGGGCGTGGATCAAACTTAATACGTGTTAGCTTATTTTTGCATTGAAACCAAACAGACGTGGACAATACTATGTTACGTATAGAAATTATACATTTCTACAGCGGCTTCTCAGTTTGTGCCAGACTATATACTTACCGGGTGAATTTGACTTGAATACGTAATACCCGCGTGGGGTCCAGGCCTAAACAGTTCTTTGTTCTCTCCTCTAGATCTTTGTTTATTATAATTCATTTAAGCGTAGGTAATCTATAAAGAAAATTGATTTATGACAAAAAAAATTGTGATTGTTTATTACATAAAGAGAACTTCTTGGAATGCCCGGTTTCACAAAGGACGATTAAGGTTAATCAATGATTAAAAATGATGATTATACGCTCAGATGTTTTCCATACATTCTAATATTTGTAATCAGTGATTAACCTTAATCATCGTTTGTGAAATCTGCCATAAGTGTCGAAACCAATGATCTAAATATAAGTTTAGTGTCCTTTTTCACACCAAACTCACAATAATCCATAAATTCACGATAAAATAATAACAGTGTAATCGATTAGAAATAGTTATTTATGTATTAAGGGCATAATCAAAAGATTATGGCACGAGAGAATGTTTAAAGCCCGACGAAGGAGGGCTTTTAATTTCTCGAGGGCCATAATCGATTATGCCCGTGGTACATACAACGTTTTATTCTATTTTAGCACAATTTCTAAGAAGTTAAAAGGGATTAGTAGTTCTTGCAGGAATTTGTCGCGAACCAAATATGAGTGGTGTAGATAGTTGGCGTTTTTTGTGTTGCTATGGATACTGAGACTGTTTACTTTTTATCAAATAATTCGCTGTTGGAAGTGAGTGTAGCTGAAATGGGAAACGTTTATTCTGACGAAATATTACGTGAATTCGAAATCGCACAAGGTAAAGTGGTTCCTCATAAATCCAAAGATCTATATGAAAAAGAATACAGCAAGTTTTGCGAGTGGCAGTATCGTTGCTAGGCAATTTTTGACAGTTCTGTGCCATAAAGTCCAATTAATACCCTCATTTGGGTGCTTACAAAAAGGATTATAATCTAAAATAGAATAAAATAAATAATTCACCCATAAGTAGATATATCAGATCATTCATTTTTGGAAGATGGACTAAATCAAACATATTTTAATAGCATGCCTACACATAATATAATTTTTGATTGTAATTCGGCTTATTCCCTAATTAAATATGAGTTCTCATTACAAATTTATGTCCATTTTACACTTATCCCATGAATATCAAAAATAATTGTAAGTTGATTACTACATTATAATGGTTTTATTTTGATATTTATTATGTATTATTTTGATGAAACGTGTAAATAAACCACTTTACAATAAAGTATAATTAAATATTGATCGTTGATCAATTCCGTTAGTAGAAGTAGGGTATCATCGAACACATCCGTCCCGTTAAAGCACTTTGAAGGTAGTGTTATGGTGTACCGATCTACAATAATTCGCATGAAGGGAAATCACAGCCAACATTTCGACACTTGAGCATTTCACACTAGCCTAATTAACATCCGTTATGCATTTTTCTAGATATCCATTTATCCATCAATCAACAGTTCACTCCTTTATTTTTGCCGACACTTAATAGAGCGCTTTTTATTGAGAGGCTTTCAGGCTGATTCAAATTCGAGTGCGCCACCATGAGGATCTCGGAAACTGTAAAAGATATGAAGGTAGTTTAATTTTGGCAAAGTTGCGTATTTTGAAACTTAACAAAATGGCGTTTTGAAATTGAAAAAAAAAGAAAATGGCTTCCACAACAAAAAACCAAGTTGATGATGGTTAACCGGAATTACATTAAATTTTAAAACTAGTATCTTGTAGAGTGAAAAAAGTGACCATAATAATATGTCATTTATATTGCAATATCTTTCTAAATAACTTCAAAAACAAAAACGACTCCTGTGGCGCAGTTTAGTTCATGTTGGACTGCAGTACTAAGGGTTCCTGGTTCGAATCCGGGTTCGGGCATGGATATTTGTAAGTGTATAGTGGGTTAGGTTGGTAGAGTAGCCTTTGCTGAAACCCCGTCCACTCAAAAATAAAGGTAAAAATTAATAAATAAATATTTACAGTTTCCGAGATCCCCATGGTGTCCCTCGAATGTGAATCAGCCTGATTGGTTTGTCAATAAAAAGCTCTTTTAAGTGTCTGCAAAAAAAGAGAAGTGAACTGTGCAATTGCTCAAGTATCGAAATTTCGGCTGTGATTTCCCTTCATGCGAATTATTATAGATCGACACACCACCTTCAAATTGGGCTTTAACTTTGGCAAATTTAAAGTACCTACGTATTTCTTACAGTTTCCCAGATCCCCATGGTGGTTCTCGAACAGGGCCGGATTAATGCCGTGAGAGGCCCTAAGCAATGAGAATTTTTGGAGCCCCTTTTTTGTTGCATCGACTAATTATAATTGATAAATAAAACACGTACAGTCAGAAGATTGGTAAAAGTATACATACATATAAAGGGTTGTGATTTAATAACAGATAAATTTAATAAAAATGAAATGGAGGCGTGTTCCTAAATATGTTCGGGCCCGTCGATTTTGCTTTTGGATTGTGCATATTTAGTACGTATACAGGGTGCCCCAAAAAAGCGTGCAGAAAATATTTTTCCTTAAATAGAAATACTCGTATATTATTGCCGAACCGTGATCGCAACGTGATCGGGCCGATAGTGTGAATCGGCCTTAAAGCTGAGTGCGAAGCGCCCCAGGTCCAATGGTCTCGACATCCTCGCCTTTTTAATTCTAAAATTAACTAATATTTAGGGATGTTATGTATGTAGTATACGTGTTTTTGTCGTAATTTATTCCTGACATATCATCATTTTAGTTTTATTGTATAATTGGATTTTCAATATGGAATGCATAATTATGTAGGTATACACACAACAATTGAATTTATAACTTATAAATTCAATGACACAACACCAAGGTAATTTCATTTATTTTATAGCATATGTTAAATTGACATTTTAATAGGTTTGAATGAGTAGACTAAGCCCACAAACTTATAAATTAAGATGGACTGCTAATGCTGAATTAACAAATGACACCTACATGGGGGCCGCCATGATGTGCACTCACTTGGCGCGAAATTCAAATCGACTAATAAACAAGCATTAACCTCACGTTGTCTAAATAAATTACTGTGACACATGTCATTTTCCAAGGCTGCAATAGTCTCAAAACTTGAGCAGTAGGAAAATTCCCCTAGAAAATAACTAAAATGTGCACATCATGGCGGCGCCCATGTTAGGACCATTTCTACCTCTATGCAACTGTTTGATCAGCAGTCCATCTTAATTTAGAAGTTCGTGACTAAGCCGTTCTTTAACCGTAAGGATAGATAAAGTGATGACTTTAACTGTAAGAGTACATAAAGTGAAACAGATGATTGTGCATTCTAATCACATCTGTCATTCTTATTTTAAACATACGATATAAAATGTCGTTCAGAAATATGACAATTCTGTTTCAATGGAAACGATCGCAACGGCAGAACCTAATCTTGCTATATTTGACGACTCTAAATTAAATTCATAATTTTCCTCGTAATTGTCAGAAGCTTTACAATGATTTATATGGCTTCTACTGTAAAATAAAGTTTTGTATTATACTCGACAGTAAAGAGAAACTAACCATCTCGTGAAAGTTAATTCACTCAATGGTTAAAATATCCCTTTATCGTCTTGTATAATAAATAACATTCTTACAGTTTTTAAATTGATTGCAGAAAATATGTGGAAGTGGGAGGTGGAGGGCAACTGATTTACTCTTATCTCAGCCGCCCCAGTACCATGTCTCTTCGGCTTGGATGGGCTAATAAATAAATAAAATGGGATTTACCAAAATTTAAAAATCATTATTTATGCACTAATCCCACTAGATTGCGTCTCAACGCGTATCTAGATACTAGATGATTCATTACATGACAACGTGAATTTTGAAAAACAACAAATCGTATTTAAATAGGTAGGTACTAAGTATGGTTAGGAAATATCCAAACGCAGGCAGAAATATTAATTACCCATTGGCAATGTGTTATTGTTTATTATCAAAATTGCTAAAAAATGTATTTCACTCAGTAAACAGATATACAGGCTGTTTCACGTAAATCGGTATCTAAAATTATAATAATAATAATAATTTCACTTCCTGTTTGACCGGATGTGGATAACAACTTTCTTATTTTAAATAAAACACCGCCCTATGTTTTATTGTATTTTCGGAATCTACCGGAAAATCTACGTCCTTTGATACATTTCCCTATACCAAATATCAAAGGTTATTCAAGTTTTGTCAATATTTTTGACGTTTGACTGCTTTTCTTTAGCGCCCTGTATCTATGGTTCCGTTGACTTGAATTTCAAAAAGTCTTCCAAAATCAACAATACCGACTTGTTACTACATGAAAATGATTTAGATTTTGATCGCGCTTCTACAGGGTGTTTTAAAGCTAATGGTCAATTTTAATAACTTCAAACCTTAAAAAGTTGAGTTTTTCAAACTTTTTGAAATTCAAGTCAACGTAGTCACAGGTAACAGGGTTCTAAAAAACCAGTCAAACCTCCTACACTCATACCATGTGTCCAAGAAGAAAGCCTATCGCATATTGTAAAAATCAGAAGTGTGCATTTGCAAACTGCGCAATGCCAACTTTCTTTTACGCAGACATTTTCCTCAAATTTTAATCATTGATGCTCTAGTAAAGGCTAACATTTTGCACATAGTAAAAATTAGGTGTGGCAGTGACTACGCAATGCCAATTTTCTATTTTCTAATTCATGAGAAGATCGTCAAAAATAGAGAACAGTGAGGATATTAACCGCAGAATTACAATTTCCGGAAGATGAGCGAAGTCGTATGAAAAAATGAAAAATCTATTATAAAACCATGTGGTAACAGAGAGGAATAACTTCAAGTTAATTAAAGATATAAAAGTAAGAAGAGGGGCGGAAATATATAGCGACCATTATCTACTGGTAGCCAAATTATGGGGAGCGCCTAGATCGAAGAAGCGAGAAAACAACAAGAAACATGTCGACATTATGGATAGATGGAGGGAACATTTCCAGGAGCAGTTGGAGGAAGAGCCAATAATGGGCAAAATGATCGAGCGGTAATGGATGAGAAAAGTAAACACCACCATGATAAGAAAGAGACAGCACATGAGAGTTTTGGGATGGCATGTTTTTACCGTCGACATTTTTGATTGGTGCCTTACATACCATAGATGCAATAAACAAAACAAAATCTCAATGAATCAAAACAGTAAAAGAATAAGGTTTCATGGCTAAAATTTAAGAAAATATAGGTTGTGATACATCATTGTAATCAGGAAAATAATGAAAAATAATTGACGTTAAGATATACAGAGTGTTACCTCTCAAAAATACATACATCGAGTCAAATCTCAGAAACGGTAGTCCAAAAAAATTTGTTTACTACGCCACTGGTTTCTACGTCTAAATATCTAAAATAGACGTTTTTACCCTTTTTCGATTTGAGATGCGTAATACGATACGATATCATCCCAAAAAGTCAAACTTTCCGTTTTCACCTTGTATCTCAGACACAAAGTAACTAGATTGATTCTGTTTGTGGTACTAAAAGTTTCACAAGAAAGTGGCACTGTATAGTCAGAATTGCAAATCTCTGCAGCTAGAGATACACTGCAGTCTCAACAAAAATAGGACACACTGTACATCTTTCCACGAGATAAACCTATTTTCAAGATTATGCATGTAAATGCTTACGCATTTGGACTAAGGGGAATAAACACTCAAATATTGCTCTGAAAAACAACAGGTTTTTTATGCCCAGTTGCATCATCAAAATTAAGCCTTGTTTAAAGTTAAGTCGAACTTAAAATCTATGGCAACGATTATTAAGACAATCGTTTGCTATGGCATTTAAGTTAAGCTTAAATTTAAGCTATACTTAATTTTGACGGTGCAATTGGCCATTAATGTCGATGACGTGCAACGGAATGGAACTATAGGTGTAGGTAAATAAAACTTTAAGTGGAGGACGATCCGCCCAAAATACTCACATTTAGCTTTTGGGATGTGGTGGCACCTTCACCTAAATTGGCGTATACATATTAACTACGTGTAAAACAACAATTTGCAGAATTTAGTGCACGAGGGTTGTTTATTTATAACTTTTGGCCCAAGTGATCTACAAAGACCTCAGCTTGGTTTCGTACTTTCTCTTATAAAATAGTGTTAATATTTTATATCCTTGTTGTTTTTGAAACAATATCCCATGGATATTTGCAAAGATATGTACATTATTCCATACTATTTGGTTGTAACCAGAGTTCTAACTCAGAACTCTTGGTACTTACAAAGTATATCAAATAACATTTAAGCTATACAATAGGTATGTGTTAAGTACGTAATATTGTAAGTACTTCTATTTCAGTGCTGTTGTCAGACTGGGCGAGCATAACACAGCGACTACGATAGACTGCGAAGCAGGAGTTTGTGCAGCGCCCACCCAAGACTTCAGACCGATCCAAATTCTCGTCCACAGGAACTATAACAAACCTACGTACAAAAATGATATTGCGTTAATTAGACTTAGTCGCCCAGCTATTTTCAATGGTAAGGTTTACCTACAAACCACATACGATTAGATCTTTGCGTCCTATGTGTGATTTAATCTACTTTTAGGCTGGGTTCAACCAATTTGTTTTCCATACGGCGAACAGCTAATGAAAACTTTCAAAGGATCGAACGCTGAAGTAGCCGGTTGGGGAGTGCATAACGTAAGTTATCCCGTGTCAAGTGAAGTGTTGCGCTTCGTACGTCTACCCATAATCGACAATAAAGTATGCCGAACCCTTTTCGAGGCTTACGCCGACATTGGACCAACACAACTTTGCGCCGGTGGACTAACTGGCAAAGATTCATGTGGAGGTGATTCCGGCTCACCATTGGTTAAAGTGGAAGTGAATCATGGTAATTCTCCACGCTACTATATTTTGGGAGTCGTTTCTTTCGGGGTGAAAAAGTGTGGTACACCGCATATGCCTGGTGTTTATACGAGGATAACGTCGTATGCTATTTGGATCTTGAACAACATAGCACCATGAGCTCAAGACATCGTGATGAATGGTCGCAAGTTGTGTATATAAGAAGACCAAAACTACTGTCCGGATCTTCGATTATTCGTTTCATCTAATTTTCAAGTAAAAATTTAATTTGTGGTAATTTTCTCTCATTTACGTAATCTGACTTTTTATTCTTGTGACACTCCAAATAAGGTGATTTTTGTAAACTCAGTTCTAACTGTCTTGTCTATTTTGTGATGTAAATAAAAAATTGAAATGTTGACATATTTTAATTTTATTGGCAAAATTAGTGAATGGCATGCCCACATACGAATAAACATGAGACTTCCAGTTCCATCGCTTGTATGGCGATCAAAAATGAGTGGCAGTCGAGTCGCCTTTTTCCCATGTATGTACCTAAACAAAAATTCCAAAGGTGACTCGATGACAACTCATTTTCGACACCCGATCACTGGAAAATAGTGGAAACCTAGTCTGAACAAAATGTGATTACGTCTAGAAAGCTCACTATAAATATATGGATTTATCTGCCCTTTTTATCTAAAAACAAAGCCAACATTTACACTAGTATCTAATCAATGTAAATAGCGCAAACGAAAACAAGCAAGTATCCGAAATTTTCGAATAATGACAAAAACATAATTAGTTGGCGAAAATTGCAACTCATATCCTTCCAACTACCTACATACTACGAGAAAATCAGCGAAACTGTGTAATCGTTCAGTGGGCGTTCGATTAAATGACAAAGAATAAAAACAACATTATTTTTCAAATTATCCATAACAATTACGCTCAGTTACGCTAAACCAGTTGTTTACGCAAAAAAATTGTATTAGCTTATCATTGATTTAAAATATCATAAAATGTTCCTTTCGTATCCTACACCAGCTCTGATTTTTATACAAAACTATCTACCTTGGATCCGCTTTTACACACCAAGGAGATCAATATTTCCTGGCACATTTTCCAACGAAGTTGAGTGTGTTATTGCAGCCACTTTCTCTGTCCGTCTATCCGTCCGAGGCATAACTACTTCTACAGTTTTCAATATTTAGTTCGAGAGAAAGAGAGAGAGGGGGGGGAGGGAGAGGGAGGGAAAAGAGAGAGATTTTCATAAATAAAAAGTTGACATTGAGCAGCCTGCGCATGCGCAGTTTAATCGTCATGATTCTCCTTGGCTTAGGTGCCAGAGCTATACACTACCGAATGCAAAAAGAACGAACTAAATATCTTAGATTAGTTAAAGCCTTGGACAGACGTTCAGACGAGCAGACGAACGGACAGAGAAAGTGGGTGTAACAACGCACCCAACTTCGTTGGAAAATGCGCTAAAAATGGACATTCTCTTACCATTATAACGGTTTTGACACCTTTGGTTTGTTTTGGAAAAGATGTGAAGATAACAACTAGCTTAGAAGTGTTAAAAAAAGCATATGACGTAGTTCAAGTAGAGAAATCTATTCTAAGTAACACCCACCTTGTACGACGTGATGTTGTACCGCACGAAGTTATATTTAATTGTAATTTTATCAGCACACAATACATTATTCTTTACATGACAAATCACAAGCTAAAGTATACTTTATGGATTTAACAATACGAGATATTAAGTTGACCAAATCCAATGGCGTTATTAGAAAAAATGCAATTAAAATCGTTAATTAAAAATCAAGGCTCAAAATACTCTTTCTCGATTAGTATACTGAATGAAACCCACCTAATTTCACTTATTGTATTAAAACAATTAGTTTAATAAATTCGTAGATGTGAATGAACCTTGAACGTACCTACCTACCTAACCGTGAAACATTGATTTTTATTGGAAAGAACGATGAAGAATTAAAATACTAAAAGATAATCTCACAAGATTACATAATATGCTATTAAGCAAAAAAAATACATGTATAATTATGTTCCTAGCCACCTTAAAGCTCTTCTGCTGCCACACATGTGTGGCCGTAATATCACGGCTATAAAGTTAAGCTGTGACATAAAGGGCAAAGCTTAAGTAGTGGTAGCATCAGTATATCTCCCGGGAAATTCTGCGAGAAAAACAATTAACACCTCATTATAAGCTGAGGCTCAAATGCTTACCATACTACATGGGGGAGCACTAAAATCAACCCTAGGGGTAATAAATCATTACTTGAATATCTGACAAGTAGGTACTAGAGATTCTCATTCAGGGCAGCGAACCCACATTCGTAACTATCCGAAGCCAAACTGTGATTGATCTCTGTTAGCATCATCTGCTTCTTTAATTGATCTCATCCGGTTTGTTACCAAGCCATTCTTAAACTTGAAAGTACGCTGTGTATTGATATTCCAGTAAAATTCTCAATATTCCAACGACTCAAGGGATATCCTAGTGTATCTACATTATTGATCATAGTGTGCGTCGTCAAACACGTATTGGGCGAATGTGGTATGTTGAACGTGGGACTGAGCATCGTTGCAAGAGATACTGAACCCAAAATTTGATCGCCATTTTTTGTTTAATTTATATATAGCAATAACTAGGTTATTTTGTACAAACAATTAAATAAAATTTACAGTATTACTTGGAACATTTCATTTGAATAACGAGTGGCTAATTTTACAAAATTTATTGAGAAAATCCACTGTCTTTGGTGTGATACAATTACCTATTTAACATAATGTCGGATATCTCTTGAACAAATGTTACTTATTTTTATTTTGCTTAACCTCGCGTTTAGCTTTACATTTCGCTTCGTGCTTCTTAAGTTCTTGGAATGGGAGTAGGTACCGTTTCACATCCCATAGGTTGATTCACACAAGGAAATTTTAAAACTGCACTTAAAGATTCCAAAGAGTAGTTTCTTGCTTCGCCAAATGCAATATGGCACATTGGGCAATCGTTTACCTTCCATCCACAACTATCACATATGCTGTGACCTGCTAAACACTGCCAAATCGGAGGCTTCATCAAATTGACACAAATAGGACATTCCAAGACGCTAACCAATGCATCAAAATATATATTATCCAATCGTTTATTTTCAGTAAATATTTTTACGACGGCTCCTACTGATACTCCTCGCGTTAGCCGTTTAATCAACGACAAATCAACGGAGCCTGCGCTATTTTTATCGCCTTCTAGTTTAAAGTTAATGTCATGTAGAGCTTTATATTTGGAGTTATTCTGTAATGAGAAATAATTGTGACCAATCTTATTTGTTTGTTCTACCGAATAGTTATACGCCTGTGCCTTTTCCTTACTTCCAATGTAATAAAGAAAATAATACAGGGTATTGCAAGGCAAATCACATTTGATGTGTAGAATGAAATGTTCTCCATTCATCTGAAGGATTTTGATAGTATTACTTGAACTCGAAATATTAATCTTCAATGAAAAATTTCCATTGCTTGCACTTATAACACCTTCAGGATGTCGAACATTTGTATGTTCCAAAATATGCGACCTACCACCTTTCCAAATACAGTCAGTAACAAAGCTAAACGGGCACTGATAATCTCTATGTATACAGGCCAAATTATGAGTCGCAACATCATAATAAACTAATCGTTCCTTACATCCTTTTGCTGCGTTTGGGCATGGAAATATCAAATTCCATAAGATCGTTTCTAACGCTGTATCGTGTATTGCCACAGTCCCATCAGGTATCTTGCAAGTTCCACAAACTTGTCCAGTCTTGGAGACCAATCGTATGGGTGGAAATAGAAAATTATTACATATTTTACATGTGTATATAGGAAGAGACGTAAGCGTATCATTTAAGTCGCTCCTTTCTGTGACATGCTCTGCAATACAATACAAAGAAATATTACTTTTGTTAATTATTTTGTTTACTTACTACTTTCTTCCCTATTCATATTGAATCAACGCCTAGTAGTACTTTAAGTAACGGTTATATGATCGATTGCAGTAAACCACTGGAACCTGGAACGATATGAGAAATATATTGTCATTTTTATCGGTTTAGTTATCACAATGTATGAGATAAGTTTCGAGGGGAAAATTATGAAACCGGAACGTGCAGTGACGGAGTAGCTACAGCAGGTGCCCGGGGGCGGCTCACAATACATTCTTGCCCTTTTCTCCCATAGCTTGGTAGATACAATGAAAAGAGATATATACTGGGTTTTCCAAATTGCTTGTTTTGGATGTTTTTCGGCGACATTTTGAGAACTAAAACTGATGCAGAGATCATTTGTGCGAATATCAAAAAAGTATAACGAATGAACGTTATGTAAACAAGTAAAAAGGTTTTCGGCCTAAGGCGAGTAACTTCAGCGCATTTTCTATGAATTGATCAGTACTTCCCAAAAGCCCATAGCTATGTGCGCTATGCGCTAACAACAAAATTTCGAGGCAGTTTCACATACATTGCGGTTTCAACCTTAAATCAAATTCAAGAATACTTACATTTCACTTTGGATAATATAATATTTGACATGTGTTTTGAACAATCATTTTTGAAGTAAAAGCAAATAGAGTTTTTAGAATACCATTGTCAATGATGTTTAAATAGGTACGAATTGTGCAATTTTTTTTCTTTTCTAGTTTTTCTTCTTTCTCTTTGTGTTTTTAGTCTTTTTCAAGCATGTATATCTATGTTTAATTAGATCATTAAGTTACGCTGCTCATGTCAAAGAATTTTATTTTGATTTATGCATATCATGTCACAGTTTTCCTGGAAGAGTGGAAGATCGCCCATGGATAACTCTGTTCCATCTGTGAAAATTAACTTCGTTTTTCACAATAAATTATTATTATTAGTATTATGACTATGTTTTTCTTTACTAGAAGAATCTATGGTAACAATTTCTAAGAAATATCTTCATAAATAAGGAAGTTGGCACTGACTGCGCATTCGCACATCTATAGTTTGCAATATCAGATATGTTTGCCTTTAACAGAAGCATAATGGTGTACCACAAGGATCGATCCTGGGACCAACGCTTTTTTTAATCTACTCGAGTGCACTCTGTAACAAGTTAAAATTTTCTAATATACACATGTATACCGACGACACTCAGATTTATCGGTCTTTCACTCACGTTAATTTACATCAGGCGATTTTTTAAGTTAACAATGATTTGGAGCAAACGCGCATTTTCTGTGATAAACATGCTTTACAATTGAATCCATCAAAATCGAATGCTTTACTATTCAGTAATAAGTGGGTGCCTTCTCAGTTGCCTATAATGTTATGGTTCCGTTTGTTGATCAATCTAAAAGTAATTCTGGACCCATCGCTTAGATTTAAGTCGCATATAGGTGCACACAAAAAGCATTTTTTAGCTTAAAATTATTGTATCCTTACAAATCGTCTCTTACCACCCAAGTCAAATTAATGTTATGTAATTCCTTAGTACTTTCCCAATTTTCCCATTGTTCATCTGTGTATGCATTCTGCATTACGTACGATACATCACAACGTATCCAACAGATCCAAAATTTTTGGCTCAGATTTGCGTATGGGATTCCAAAATAGCATCACATCTCCCATAAATTAAAAGATGCCCATTGGTTCAATAGTGGAAAACAGACGTTATCTTCAATCTGCGACACCATTTCACAAAATTATTACTGACAAACAACCAGCGTATTTATACAATGAAATCAGGTATAGGACAGATATTCATAACATGAATTTAAGATATTCATAACATAAATTTAAGGCATAGGGGTCTACTCACCATCCCCCGCCATAAAAATCTCTATTCCGCCGTTCATTTAGTTACAATATGGCTTCGGTATATAACACTGTACCTCCGTCTCTCAAGGGTTTGACCAGTAACAAATTTAAGTTTGAGATGTTCAATATCCTATTTACATCACAAAGTTAAGATTTTGTATTACTTACCTTTTCATTTTTGTTTTTCTCGTATGATTTTACGTCTCCTTATGTCACTATGATGCATAGGTTTTATTTTTAGCTGAAAAAGTGTTACTTTTTATTTTATACGTTACTCCACTTTTTTTTTCTTCAGGAGGGGTAATGCAATGACGCACTAATTGCGGGGCTCCCCCAGATACCAGGTATACCCACTAAAACCCCTCCTGAGGCATCATCTACTATGGTCATTTGCCTTATTAAATATATATAGGTACCAGTGTAATTTAGATTTTAGATATTAGGCCAGTATTTCTAAGATATATTATAACTGCTCCACATTGATCTTTATTTGTCAAGGTTTCTATTATTTCTTGACTCAGGTTACACCGTACCCTTTCTACATTATATTTGGGACACACACAAAGTATATGATCTACAGTTAGGTTGATTAAACATTGTTTGCATTGGGGAGGATCTTGACTCGTCAAAAGAAATGATTACGTGAGGGCAGTATGTCCCAACCTGAGCCGATATATCTTTTCAAGATTGTATCTTCCCTTAATTGGTAAGAATATCCGACCCACAACCTCCTTCATCTCCCTTAGGAACGCTTCCGATTCACTCCACTGCCCGTTCCAGATTTCCCATATTCGACCTTTAACTAGGGACCGACGGGCGTTCTTGGATGGTTGAGACATGTCTTCGGCTATCAGGTCAATTCGGTCATCATTTCTTTGGCTGTCACAGCCAACGATCGACACCTAATTAAACGCGCACCTTCTATTACATCAACCATTCCGTGATAGTTCGGATGATTCCTATCCATCCAGCGAGACTTTTAAGTAATAATTTGCTCTTATTTGCTTTCTTCTAAGAGCAAGAGGGGGAATATTAGCCTCGACATGGAGAGATACGACTGGAGATGTTGGAAAGGCGCCAAGTGAATATCTTATTGCCAGGTTTTGGATTTTGTCCAGCTGTCCCAACAATACGTTACTACAGGTAGAATAGACATGAGATCCGTAGTCTATACGGGATAATATCAAGGCTTTATATATGTCCAGCATGGTTTTAGGGTGGGCTCCCCATTTATGATGAGCCAGCACCCTTAGGATGTTTAGTGGAGAGAGAAAGGCTGCTGGTGAGCCCAAGGCGGCTGCTTCGCCGTATAGTAGAGCGCGTGTCTCTTTGTACACTAATTTCGTCAAGCAACTCTTATTTCTTTTTGTTTAAAAACGCAGTTTTGTCGATATTAAATTATTCAGTGCAGAAGGGGTTGTAACGTGCTCTTCGGCGCGACAACTCAGGGGGTAGGGGTGGGTTACAACAAACTAATGACATATACAATATATACAGGGCGCCACGCCGTTTGGGACCAATAAACGGAGTAACGGCGAATCTCCGGGGAAGACTAAATCAAACAACTATTCGGAAGACACTCGGATACGTTAGCATATATATATTTAATTACAAAACATGCGATGGACGACTACAATATAATATAACAAATCCTGTGATAGCTTACAGACTAACATACAATACAAACACCCTCGCATCCACGCAACCACTCAGCAACGCTCACCCTTATGGTCAGATGGTAGGTATGGTAGAGATGAGATGGTTCCGCTTCCGGTGAGTATCTATTGTGATTACAGATGAACTAGATCCTATGTTGGGGTTGCAGGTGGTGCAGCAGGTACAGGCAAGACGGCCAGGAGCTAGCGAATAATCCCAGTACTCAGTCACGTTGATGGCAGCGTTCGTAAGCCGATGGAGTGGCTGATTTAAACGGTTACCCAATTTCCAACCGTAATAATGAGGTATCCCGTAAACCGGACTGTGTAAGAAAGTACGCTTATAGGTTAACCCGCAATACTTTGTAAGTCCAAAAGGAATAATTAACACTCACGTCTCTATGAGACTCCGTCCCCACAAATCCGAGCCCAATCCTTTCCAGTTTGTGAGGAATGTCAATAATACAGCTATCCGTCTAATATAGGTAATTGCGACTAAATTACTGCTTACTTAATTGCTTGGTGAACGCAATTACACTTTAAATACGACGTGCTTGAGTAGACCTCACGTTCAAATAAAAATAATCAAAAATGTGTATGTTTTACAATGCCCGCCTGCACTTGGCGATAAGCAATTTAGTTTAGCGAAGTTTTCTTTATGTACATACAGGCTGTTCCACAATACGCACACCAAATCTTAATTAATAACGTCACAGGGTTTAGGTTAAAGTGTTTTGAGAAGTTAATGTAGTTTGTCCGTTTACGGAAGAAGTTAGTTTGTAGTGCATAACGAGACCTTGTTGGAGGATACTTTTGTGTAATAAAAGACCCGTTTGAACAGCCATCGCATTGAAAATTGCCATTGTTAAAATGAAATAGAAAAGTGGTGAACTTTCTTGAAGCTTTCAGCGAGTATTTTTTCTCGGTGCTAAGTGCGTCGGAATATCGCACGACCGTTGTTACAACAGGATTAAGTGATAATTTGAAAAACTGTAAGCAATTTTATTTATGTCGACCATTTGCGCGTGGGGTAAATTTAACGGGCTTGTGTCCCTATTTATTCCAGATTTGTCTTCAGTAGCTTTGGCGTACCTACGAGTTTCGAACTACATTCTTTTGTCTTTGTCCATCAATTAATTGTGTTTATTTGAATCCATTGTACGATCCAGATAGAGTTCTCATGTTCATATTTATTCTATTTGCGCCAAATATTTCAGGATCTCAGGTCTTAAACAAAATTTGTGTAATCGATTTCTTTGGAATTTTTTTTGGACGTTTATCGAGGCTTCGGAGTCTCCCAAATTATTATATATTATCATTAGGATTTTGTTTTGAGAAAATACCGGAGGTGTACGAGGCGAGATCATAAACATTTTAAGCTTCAATGCTATTGCACACAGCAGTATATCTACTTAGATACACACATAAACAATAGTTATTGTTTTTATTCACATTTCACACTCGGCAATAAATGAAATTTGGGCAGATTCATGTATTTAAATTACTGAATAAAATTTAAATTCTGAAACCAAAATGAATCTTTAATCTGCACCAAATTCAATGGGCTCTTCGATGCACACACTATTATTTATATTAGGCCTTTAAAATTGATTGAATCCTTTAATATCAGTTAATCAAAATTTTACCTTAAATTTTATACAAATTCTGTTGCAGTCGCAGATGCAGTTTTTTCTTTAACGCGTAATGAGTAGGTAATTCGCGTCTTTATTAATTTAAGTCTGCAACTGGACACAGGATTTTAAATTTTCTTATCGTTTATTTTGATGATTGTATGTAACTTTTTCTAAAAGTTATTATTATTATTAAAGGCCGATTCGCAAGTAGGTATGTCAGCTCGTACTTATTCAGATTATGGGAGGAATTTCTTAGAAGCGTCACGACAACTCGCCGACTTCCGGTTGCAACAACCAGCCTCAATTGTTGAAGCAGCAACAGTTCTGAATCCTCAGTAGCATTTCATTCCGCCATACAGTCCCCATCTTTGGGAAGCTGACGTAAAAAAAGCAAGCCTTCTTAATTCATTGATATTTCGCTCACCTATAAAGAATCCACTACAGTCCTCGCTCAAGTAGAGGCAATATTGAATCTTAGGCCGCTCACTTCAGTATCTTCCAATCCGAACGATCCACAAGCAGTGACGTTTTTCCATCTTTTAATTGGAGGAAGCTGCTCCACAGTTTCAGATCCTATCGTAGAAAGCAGATGAACCGTCTGTCAAGATAGCAATATCTTCAGCGCTTACAATAAGAGTTCTGGCGACGATGGCGCCGAGATTATCTTAATAACCTTCAAAGGGAACTGGCTTGTTTTTTTTTAAAACGGTGCATTGGTTATTTATGATCCAGGATGATGGCGTTCCAGTTGAACACTGACCAATGGAAACAGGCGGTCTCCAAACAAATGACTCCCAATGTTCCAACGACTCAAGGGCTATCCAATGTAACTTCATTATAGTGTGCGTCTTCAAACAAATATTGGGCGAATGTGGCGAATGCAAGAAACACTGAACCCAAAATTTGATAGCCAGTTTTTGTTTAATTTAACTAGGTTATTTTGTATAAATATTTAATTAAAATTTACAATAATTGGAACATTTCATTTGAACATCGAGTGGTTAATTTTCTGAGCATTGATAATTTTATAAAATTTACAAAAATAACCCACGGCCTTTGGTGTGATACAATTATTGAAAATATTGTCGGATACATATCTCTTGAACAAATGTTACTTACTTTTATTTTGCTTAACCTCGCGTTTAGCTTTACATTTCGCTTCGTGCTTCTTAAGCACTTATAACACCTTCAGGATGTTGAACATTTGCATGTTCCAAAATATCCGACCTACCGCCTTGCCAAATGCAGTCAGTAACAAAGCTAAACGGGCACTGATAATCTCTATGTAAACACGTCAAAATATGAGTCGCAACGTCATAATAAACTAATCGTTCCTTACATCCTTTTGTTGCGTTTGGGCATGGAAATATCAGATTCCATAAGATCGTTTCTAACGCCGTATCGTGGATTGCCACAGTTCCATCCGGTATCTTGCAAGTTCCACAAACTTGTCCAGTCTTGGAGACCAATCGTATGGGTGGATATAGAAAATTGTTACATATTCTACATGAGTATATAGGAAGCGACGTAAGCGTATCATTTAAGTCACTCGTTTCTGTGGCATTATCTGCAATGCAATACAACGGAATACTACTTTTGTTAAAAAAATTTCTTACTTACTGCTTTGTCCTCTATCCATATTAAATCAACGCCTAGTACTACTTTAAGTGACGGTGGTATGACTGACTGCAGTAAACTACTGCAACGAGATTAGAATTGTCATTTTTATCGGTTTCATTATCACAATGTATGAGATAACAAAGCTTTGAAAGGAAAGTTATTAAACTTGAACGTAAATATTAAAAGCACAACAAAATATTTTTCTAGAAGTTAGAGAGTCCTTGGTGGACCGCCCTTTCTATTAATTTTGACGCTAGTGGGTAAACACTAGTTTCACTGCCCTTCAATCTATATTAAACTAAGTGTGTACTCCAGATATAACACGTATTTTGATGATTTGTTAATGACCTTTGTTTATCGAAAAACTAAAATGGTTCTTGCAGCTGAAGCTCTTGAAAACTCATTTTTCACACGTTATAAAGGATGCAATTCCATCCTGGCGGAGGCAATTTGCACGGTGATAAAAACTTTGCTATAAAGCTTTATTAGTAATGAAACACGAATACACTCACAATGGTTCTGGATCATACAGGTATCAGTGACCGATTTAAATTTTTTGCGCCCCTAGGCACACCGAAAGATATGCGCCCCAAAATAATCTTGAAATTGCAATAAATTTTAAGATGCTAATAAATCTCAAATTATAACTTGAAATTTTTTAAACTATAATATGAAAAGAAATACAGTATACTTAAGATTAAGTTTTCAAACACGTCAAAACTTGCATTGTCGATTATCGTTCTTACAGTTACAGTATGTTTAAACTATCTACCAATTCCAATTTATTTCATAATTTTAATTAAAAATATTTGTCATTTGTAACTTGTTAGGGGACTTATTTTAAAACTTAAAATGTTACCTAAAATAAATATAGTGCAAAAATGCCACCCTCTAAAGCTGCCGCCCTTAGGCACGTTAGTGTGCCTATATGTAAATCCGCCACTGATAGGTATACATTTTATTGATAGCAAAATCATAAATTATTCTCTAGTATTATAATCGTGTCGCTAATCGTTGACGAGCGACTGCGAAACAAAATAATATGAACTTCGTTGGAAACGTGATTTCCTTTTCGTTGCGAATAATTAGATAGGCTGTTCTCAGCGCGTTCTAATTGTTAATTTAACATTATGGATTTCTCATGCCGAACAACTTTTCCTAGTAACATTTTGTCGTATCATGAACAAAAAGTGCAGTTTACCTAAAAATATTCATAAAACTCTATTCACATCAAGCAGGGCTTATTTTCAGAGTCTTAAGATAATAGTTATTTGTACAACTAGCGAAGAAAGTGGAGTTTTTCATCTCGTGAAGGAAAACACTTTCTTCTCACGTTTTAGACATATTTTTTTCTGAAACTACAATCAAAATTGAAAAATTATCGTATGCAATAATGAAGTTTGGCATAGCAATCTAGATACGGGCATGTTTGAATTTTAAATGTCATTATGAAGATTAACGCAGTAATTGTTTTTTTACTTTCCTCACTAGAGAGGAAAATCTCATTTTCTTCCCGTTTTTAGAGATATAATGTAAAATTTGAAAGTAGTAACATATTTGTTTTTGCATGGCCAACTACATTCTTATAAGATATAATTATTAAAATGCGCTTTTCACGTCTTTCTGCTCAGACTGAAGCTATAAAGCAAACTCTATTTAATATAGTTATTTAGATACAATAGCCTCAAATTTGGATTGTTTCAAAATTCAACAATCTTTAACGATAAAAAATATTACGGATCTATCTTATATAGATTTGTGTTAGAATTTAACGTAGAATATAATAATAGTAGAATAACATACACTATGTCCTATTTCGAATTTTTAAGTTGGAGGCTGTAGGCCCCTTTTGGCACACCCTATATAAAAAATACTACCATATTTGAAAAATTGTGCTTCGGCTAAACAAACTTTTGCATTGAACTTATTTTTGCAAAACTTATTAGAGAATAAGTTAGAGGGGGGATTATAGTGTGTACAAATAGGGTAACACAAAATTGTGATTTCGCACCCATATCCGTTTGCAATTCTTAGCCGAACAACAAAAATTGTGATGGTTTCACGAAATGTTTTATTTTACTCTTACTTTTCTTTCTAGATATATTAGAAAAGCTTTTGGAGATTTGTTTTTTAACGTTTTCGACGAATGCCTCAAAATTTTATTTACCTAACCTTTGAGCTATATTAGACGCGGTATTACTAGAAATGTAAAAGATCGATACCAGTTTGTTCAACAAAATCCAAAAAATTTCTCTCAATAACATATTTCCGAGAAATGTTATTAATGGAATGTGCTGCTATTCAGTTCAGTTTTTGGGAGCATAATGTGTAACATAGGTTTGCCATTTTTGGGGCTACATCGAAAAACTCCCAGATAGGAAATGTCGTAGAGATCCGCACGATATTTTTGGGTAAAAATTTTTACATAATCGGAAAGGACATAGCCATAATCGTATGGTAAAGGCGTTAGTTCCATTAATTAGTGATGCAAAATTATTGCAAAATTTGAGGACGTGCTCCTAAATGTAACATTTGCATAATTTGAAAAATAATGTTTGTTTTGGTACTCTGTATGTTCACTAATCTTAAAATATAAACTTTACACACACACACACAGGTAGACTTGTACTGCATACGTTCTTGAGCCGATATAAACTTGTATTGCTGACGGATGTGTTATTGTGACCTTTTATTTCAAAGAATACACATACCGATTAGCTAATGTACCTTAATTGAAAGTTAATGTGGTCATTTAAAGCTAATTGTCTTATTGTTGGTTTGATTTGTGTACCTACGTAAAGTTGTGTGTTGGCGATACCGAATTGTTAATGGCGTAAACACATTTGTGAGCATTTAGTGATAGTTCATGCAATTTTTGGGTGTGCGTGTGGTTAAGGATTCGTAAACAATGAGAGGATTATGGATTTTTTTGAACGTCGCATTTGTTTACAGTCGTAAGTAGTTTCATTTGTTTAATTGAAGGTTGACGTGATGATTACGATTACCAATAGCCGAAGATTATTGTTATTACCACCAGGTGTTTGTTTTAAATTGGACCAGATACACATGCTCTCTATCGGAAAACCTTGAGCTCTGATGCTGATTAACAGGTTTTTCTTCTGAATTATCAGAGAGTTGAGCAAATATTTGTCTCCCGCCTGCACTTTGAGCGGCTACCATTATTCAAGCACTTCAGTTTTTTTACGCAATTTGGATGCATCCAAATACGGGTTCCAGAGTGATTCTTGCAAGCTTCCCGTGATCTGAAAGTATCCCTTAATTATCCAGGGTAATCTATGTACCCAAATGTCCTGGCACTAAATAAAATACGAACGAAATATAGCTCAGACAATTGGGGACAGTATAGCAATAAATTAATTCGTTAACTAATACCCACACGATATAATGGAAACACCTTTTTTATATATGGATAATAAATTGGACAGATTTTTTTTCCCCAAGGTTAGGCGTAGAAACCATCGGCATGACGTATAAAGAATGTTTAAATTAAGACCATTACTCCTATCCTATACGAACGTAGAATATAATATTTCCTCTTAGTATTAGTCACTTGACATTATTAATATGCATGGTGTTATGGTATCGGTAGGTAAACAGGAAATATTGTCTAAGTTTCTTCAGTGCATCGATTATATGGGTGATTATTTTTCACATTTAACAGTCGACCAATGAAAACGCCGTATTCAAAGCTACTGGAGAGAATTATTTCGGATATTTTTCGGATATACCCCTGCTTGTTGCTAGGCAGCGAAAATATTTTTGAAACAAATAGCAACCCATGTCTATAAAGACATTTGTTTAACAACGCTTAGTAGGCATCGTAATTTTGACGATTGTAAGTTAAAATACAAGTTTAGTGCAACACTTTCTCTAAAATGAGTCGTTTCGGTGTAGAATCGCTACAAAATATACAAGAAAAAACTAAGGAAAATGTGCCGTTAAACACCATTAAAACGAAAAACATGGTTTGGAAACAGTTTTCTTCCTTTTGCGCCGACAGGAATTATGAATTAATGGAAACCACTTCAAATGAACAACTCGCTCATATTTTAACAGATTGGGCTTTCAACATGCGAAAATCGAACGGAGAAAATTATAAAGAAAATGTGGTGAAAACTATGTGGAACCAGACTGCAAAAATGATACAAGACAAGTACTTCAACGAATTCAACAGAGAGATTGACCCATTCAAAAACCCAACTTTTAAAGTAGCTAGGGATGCGAGAAATGCGAAAAGGCGCACACTTCAGGCCGATCCAACCAAACGTACCACCAGTTCAACGGCTTTGGACAAAAAAGACATAATAGCTATGATGAACGTCTGGAACGAAAATACACCAGAGGGATTGCAACGAAAACTAATTATTATCATTTCCGTGGAATTGGCTTGGAGGGGTAATGAAGGACTAACGGCACTCGTGCATCACTTTAAGGAGGAATTGGGAAACGATGGTATTTATACTGGTAGAATTGAGTACAATCCTGTGTTCACAAAGACAACACAAGGTGGAGAACGGAAGTGCGCAAATAGTAAGTGGCTAATTGCAAATGAAGAGGCTCTCGATTACTGTCCGGTAAGGTTGTTAAAGAAGTTATTGTCTTTTCGAGGTAAAAATATAAAGACGGACCGTTTATTTTTAACTGTAAACCCCAATTGGAGAGATTTGCAAGGTGTTGGCTGGTACAAAGACGTTCCTGTAGGAAAAAATGTTATGGGAAAATGGATGAACGATTCTGCAAAACGCGCTGGGCTTAACACTACCGACAAGAAAATAACGAACCACTCGAGCAGGGCCACTGCTGTATCCACACTTGCAAAATCTGGAGTTGGGGAGCAGCAAATTATTAAAATTACCGGGCACTCCAATGCCAATTCAATAAAACCATACTTGCAGCTAGATAAGGAGCACCATGAACAAATATTAAAGAAAATGCGGCAAGATCCTACATCTACAGTTGAAATGAATTCGGCTACCTCCACAAGCTATAATGCCCCTAAAACAAACAATAATGTCTACAACAACTGTACCTTCAATTGTACTAATCTTTACTTAAATTAATTGTATGCAATCTGCAGTTTTGTAATTGTGTAATGTAAATAACTTAATGATTATTGGTGATAAATTATTAAATTTCAAATAAAAAATCTTGCAACTAAGACAAGAATTGGTGAAGTGGTTTACTTTCCAAATTTGAAAAATAATCTAGCCAAATACCCCTCGAGCATCAAAATTAATCGAATATTTCCCTTAAGTTTTGCTGCATTGCAACGGGCGGTGTCAAATTTTGGCAGAACAAAAATCCCGAGCCCAGGGATTTTTGTTCTGCCAAATTTGTCACCGCACCGTTGCTATGCAACCAAACTTTCGGGAAATATTCGATAATTTTGAAGCTCTCGGGGTATTACTACTGAGCATTTTGTACTGCACACGCCTCCGATTTTGGAGTTTCGTCATTCTACCACTATGCTAAAGCCCTTTCTGATAATCTAGTTGTCACTCGTCCCAAAATCTTCTATAAACTACTTACTTCCAGAAGTACGATAGTTGATAGATCTAATGAGGTAAGTATCCTATTTTCCGCAAATTTTGGATATTCTATTGTGAGAGGACAATAAATATTTTTACCCAAAGTCGTCCTGAAACCTTCATTTTCATGTCTACTTTCTGCCAGGAAATTTTAGTTTCCATGACAGAGGCAGAACAGACTACGTTTCTTTCCGCTGTCACTTTACTAGCCGCAGTTTTCACTTTACTGGCCGCGCCGTCACTTTACCGGTCGCGCATGTTAAATGTCTATAATGACTCCTGTTATCACTATATCACTCACTACATATACAAATTATATTTTATATTAGAATACGATTTCGGGTAAAATTTAATACAAAACTCGTCAGTAAAATGACATTACTTGACTCGGAAATTAAAGTATACTCGGCCCCAACGGGGGCTCCTAGTTCAATATTTTCTCGCTAGTAATGTGTCATTTTCCTGACGGCGTGTTACTTCGTATGAAAAGTGCAGTAAATTGAAACGGAAATAGCAAAAGCTGATTTTAAAAATTTTCAATATTAAATTTTGAATTACAAACTCATTTTTTTCACTACTAGCGTCTGATGACATGATTATTAACCTTTTTTCCACTTGTAAAGTAGGCTTTCTCGGCATTTGTTCAAAGTGGTTAAAAATGTGGACATTATTATAACTAGTAGTCAATAATGAGAACTGTCACGCTGTCACTTTTCGAAAACACAACCCGAAATTTCGCTCAATAAACGTTTGAACAAGTTCTCTAAAATGAATAATTGTCACCATCGCCAGTTCCAGAGAAATTACATACCTAAAATTATTACATTTTGAAAAAATTCGAACGAAATTACTCTTTGAAAATATCTCAATCACAGAACAAAATACGGCCTGTTTGACTTGTACTTCTACGTACTTGATTGACATGTTAAATTAATAAACAAAAAATTCTGTTCAACCGTTCACTTTCTTATCAATATAATATGTTAATTTAGAGGATTTCAAGTGCTAGTAGTGAAAAAAATAGTGTATATACCACGGTGGGGAAGTCTATTATTGCCTTCGCACCTTACACCCCTCGGCGCAAGCGCCTCGAGATGTAATCTTGGCGCTCAGGCAATAATACTGTACTTCTCTACCTTGATATATAATGTACTATTAAGCGTTTACTTTCAAGCAACTATTTTAGAATCAAATTACATCGACTAACACGCGTACACCTCCTAACTTGGTGGCGTAGGTATTTAAAACGAAAAATATCCGAATTGCTTTCACTTCTATTAAAGGGAATTCATCCAGAAGCATGGATAGGAATGTATTAAAGATTTAGTATTGAGATCTATTCCTAGTGACTATAATCTGCTCTTCTTCTTCAAAGTGACAGACTGCACTTTTACAATGGCCTTTTCATTAAAACCAAATACATTTAAGTTCTTTCTGCTGAAGATTAAGCGTATGAAGCCGCTAGAAGATACCTGCTAAGTAGGAAAACTCATCATTGCAAATAGTTTATCGCTAAATTCTTCCGAAATCCGAATGAGACTTTCGTCCCACAAAAATGGCGCTATTTTACTTATTACTTCGTAAACAAGCTTGATGGCTTTACCACGAAATAACCATCTCTGGATAGATATACTTATCCACTGCAATAATGTCGGAAGAGTTGAGAGATATTGCGCACCGGAGTGCCGTACATCTCTTTGGGAATCCAGCGATTGAAGCCCTCAATCTCTGGGATTCTACAATATTGATGTAAGCCAGCAGTGTCACCGATAACCAATCGCAACTCGCAGTGAATGTAAATGGAAAATTTCTTCTCCCCTTTCATCGTCTTTGGGTCTGTGCACGAGGTTCAAAAGCCTCCTTCACTTTTAAGAAGAACGCAAAACCTCAATTTATCCGAGCACGTCCGGTGCCTCATGGTGCCATTGACAAGGTTGAAGGTGCTCTTCGAAAACTCGAGAATGAGGAAGTAATCTCGCCGATTTCCTACGCCTTAGCAGCAGCACGGATCTATTCGGGTCACAACTGATTTTTCCACGGATCTCAACAAAGTATTAAAAAACTTCAAATATCCGATTCCGACTCCCAGCATCAATGCCCGCTTCGCTCTCGGGAAATGATATTTTCACTAGGCTTGACCTGTCGAACGTTTGCAATCAGCAGTTTACTTGGATGACGTCCCCGAAAAAGGAAAGGAGGATAATCGCCGATTGTATCTTCCTCGACGAGACCTGTCATTCCTCCAAGTCAGCAGATACTCGAAGAACTTCACATTGGGCATTCGGGTGCAACACGCATACAATCAATAGCTCGCGAGAAGTGTTTCTGGCCCGGAACCAACGATCAAATCACAACCTTTGCGATGCGATGTAAAAATACCCCCAAAATCAATTCTGTGTGGTCTG